TTCTTGATTTTGTCTAATAAACTCTCAGTGTCTCATTGATGTCATGATTATCATAATTGTATTGCCATGAACCACGGATCCGATAACACAGTTTCATTATGAAAAAGATAACGTTTTCCATAAGTTATCTCTCACAGCACAAACCCTTTGCTTTTTGCCAGGTCATTTGAAAGCAAATAACTCGCAGTAATCCATTGCAAATACTTTAGTTTAATCTACATACTTAATAAAAAGTTCCTTAGCCTAAGGAAGGATTGCTAATTTTTTAGAGGAGAACAAGCTGCGCTACCTATTGGCCACTGCAAATGTTGCGGTTCATGCAAAGGCAATATTTTATAAACACAGTGTGTCAGAGTGAAAAGCAACACCAACAATTATACTTGCCTAACGACTAACGCTTTGATACAGATGTACTCTGAAAGAAAACACTTCGCAATTTTTTTCTCGTTGATTTACCACTTTTTCCAAAATATCATATTAATTTTTGTGCAAAATTAACAATGCTGTCTCAAACAATCTGTATTCTGCAAGTCATAAATTGTCATTTCTCTCAAGGACTTTAAAGTGGGTCAGATCTACACTTGGGATGTTGCTATGAAGTCATCGAACAGATCTAAAAATAGATATGCCAACATCGCTGCATGTAAGCTGTTGTTTTCCAGTTCTAATACTTTTTAAAGAGTTATGAGTGAATTATCTGCTTTCTTGGTAATCTTGTTTAAACATCCTTAGATGAATGTTTGATATTTATTTGATTTAGTAACTGAAGCCTGAAACTAACGAAACAAGACTCTGTAGGATGAGTCCTATTCCTAGATTATTCAAAGCCCCACTGTTTTATCTGCCTCCTTTGGATCCAACTCTCTCTTTCAAGCCTTTATAAAGTACATTTCCAGTCCGTTAATCTAAACATTGATTCTATTACAGACGATCATTCAAGGGTAATATTGAAACCAGTTCCAGGTGACATGAATGGTTCCGATTACATCAATGCGTCTTATATCGATGTTAGTAAGCCAAATATTGTTTATCTTTCAAATCCAGTATTTGATTTTTTTTACTTGCAAGAACATCTGTTCTGAGAGTATATGTTGAAGAGAAATAAAACCACTTTAAGAAAAAGGATGAAAGTAGTAGGTAAAGTGAATCTAAGGTCTTTAGGTATTACCTCTATTCACAATACGTTGTTGGTGTCTATATTGAGAACCCTTATGAATCATTTTCAATATTGCCTTTCAGGGCTATCACTACCCGGAGGAGTACATAGCTACCCAAGGTAAACCATTGGTATATGAAAGAAACATTATTGCCAATAAGTTTTGCTTTGAGCTAGCCACAGAAGAGAACTTAAACCAATAAAGAGTTCAAGCAAGCAATGGATAATTTAACCATGCAGTCTTTATAAAACTTATTTCCGCTCACAAGCAGCTGTTCACACGATCCTTATCAATAAGGCTATGCATTCAAAGTTTTTTCCAATTGCTGAGTAATCCCTTTTTAACTCTGAAACGCCCGTAAAATTGAACACTAAAGAGTCATTTTGCAGCACCTGAACCACACCTGTTTAACCTACATTCCATCAGATCTTACCATTGCCCACTAAGAAATTTTCTGTCTCAATGGGAACTCAAAAAATTGATGTAAAATGTAAAAGACTAGATTAAAACACACTCACTGCCATCGATGCATTTTGATCTGATCCACTCACTGATCTATGCATATATTCCTTTGCAATAGAACAAAGGAATTCAACTCGTATTTTTACTGCCTGCTTCTTGCCGTATTTTCTTGTTAACAACCTGACGGCCTCTGCTTCTGAAACAATGTGTTTATCCTTGACTCTTAAGTACGTTCTCTTTTCAACCTGGATTTGTATTTGAATATTGATAAAGCTACATGCAAAGATGAAATAGTTGCATTCATCAATAGAGAATTTAGTATGATATATTATTAAGTAAAGATTTCTGTGTTTAGGCCCAACTGAAGATACCATTGTTGATTTCTGGCGAATGATTTGGCAAGAGCGGTCAAGCACAATAGTTTGCCTCACCAATCTCCACGAGCTGGGTCGAGTAAGATGTTTTGCAATCTATATATTCATTAAGTAAATTTACAGAGAGCATTTCATATAAAGCGCCCAGGATACTTTTCCTTACATTATCCCCAAACCCAGATACAATCAAATTCATGTACCAATAGTATGCAATAGTGTGGAATTGTGAGAGAACTGGAACCAAGGTATCGAGTCACGTGTTATTAGAGGATGTGGAAAAATGCGAAAGTAAGTGACGGTAGAAGAGGTCGAGAACAGAAGTTTAGGAAATACGTATTGATAAAAGATTCGCAAGAGAGACGTAATGGAAGTTGAGAAGAAGGGGGCTGACGAGACGTCTTTTTTATGTGCTCTTTAGTTTTTATCATTGGATTCAGTTCGCTTCGTTACTTCAGCAAAATTATTATCGTTCATTTAGAAAAGATGTAATTTTTTCTATAACACCTATGTTTGTTTTCTCGACTTTCTGTGGAATTTTTTTATGCTTTCCACCATAGAAAAAATCGCAAACAGCTTTGACATTACATGAAATTTCATTAAAATGAAATGGCATGAAAGATTTGCCATTACAGTCAATCATCCGTTTCATAAGCATCTCCTTCTAGGCAAAATGCAATCAATATTGGCCTACTGTCGGAGAGGAGAGATATGGAGGGATAACTGTGGCCCTTGTATCAACTGACAAAACTGCTAATTACATAATCAGGACGATGGATATAAGACACGTGAGTGAAATCAAGAGCTTCACTAAAATTTCTCTCTAGACTTTAATAGGTCTAGCATATGCAGCCAAAATCTATCAATAATATATTGTTATATTACTCCTTGCCTTGTGTAATGGTAATATCGATTCTTGTCTATGTTTATCAATGAAACAAAATGGCGAACGCGAAAGAGACGACAACAAATAAAACGGCGAAGTGAAAGCAATATTTACAATATAAATCCGCGAAGAAATGAAGTAGCGTTAATGATGCTCACAACAGTAAACCAAAACAGTACAACAGTAACAAACTAAAAACAGTAAAACAACACAACAATATTTGTTTCAGCAAGCTGTAATATGCTTAGGCTTTTTGGCCAATTTCAAACTTTTGCAACTTCTAAGCTTTCCTTATTTTGTTTTAAATACTTTATTATGCCATTGCCATTTCCATTTTTTCAAAAAATTGTGTTCTTTGCCTAGGATCAAAGCGAGGAAGTGCGCCAAGTTTGTCAGTTTCATTTTCTATCATGGCCCGATTATGGTACTCCAGTCCACCCGACTTGCCTTTTGTCTCTAAGAAGACGCGTACGACATTTCTATGACGGCAAGACACCAATGATTTTGCACTGCAGGTATGTTGATATATAGTGCTTGGATGTTTCAAAGTAGAAAGCTGTCAGATCAGTGATTAGAACGTCAGAATAACTTAAAGGTACACTGCGAAAGCCCAAGGCTTCGATTCAAAAACCCAAATATATGGAACTCTTTTATGGCTCTTTTTGCAGGGCTAAGAATTTTTCAAAGCAAACGGATTTCCGTGAGGTCTAAGTGATATTTCTATAAGCAGTAATGTCAGCATCCAATCTCAAGTCGAACTTTCTAAAACATGTTCCTCTTTGCTTTACTTTACTTTGTAATCTTCAGTATGTCTAAGTGACCAAGCTCTTCTTCTTACAGTGCTGGAGTAGGTCGAACTGGGTGTTTTGTTCTTATCGATGTCATGCTTGAAAGATTTGCAAAGGAAAAGACTATTGATGTCTACAATTACTTACACTATTTGAGGACAAGAAGAATCAACATGGTTCAAACTGAGGTACTAATTGTTTCTAAAAGCATCTTCTATTGGTAGCCAGCAACATAATTCTCGTAATGGCTTTTTTCATCTACAGCACATTTTCCATCTAAAGCACATCGACACTGATTTGAATCAATAAAAATCAAGTTTTCACTTTCGTATAAAAAATTTGTGGAAAGTCGAACGATTTCTTATCCTTTTTCTCTTTTTGCTTGGTATCGAAGATATAATTATTTGCAACTTGGAAATGCATGTGGTGAGTGGGAGAGTTAAATCGTGTGAGAATAATCGAAGGATCGCCTAAATGGATGCTTGAAGCTCGTAAATCATAGAGCTGTGTAAGAAATCAAAGATAATTCTGATATTTGTTAAGAAGGTGTTAGGGTAAAAGTATTCAATCCAAAATGTTGATTGATGTTACCATTATAAGATATTGCAATGGCTGAATGCCCCTTATAAGGTTGCATGAATATGACGCTAGATCTACATACCTGCCTGATGTTCAAAGAAAAAGCAAGACTATATCAATTTAACTTTCAGATTTTAAGGAAGTTGTCATTATAGACTGTAATTTAGCAGTTAAACTCAAAATCTTCTACCTTTAAAGACTCTTTTTAACTTGTCTTCCTAGGATCAGTATTTCTTTGTGCACGAGGCTTTGCTTGAGGGACTGCTCTGCGGGAACACAGAAATGCTTGCTAAAGACCTACCTATCATGATCAAGAAATTCAAGAGCGCTGGAAAAGATGATGGCTTTACGCATTATGAAAGAGAATTTAAGGTATTGCAAATTACATGCAATTTATCAACGCTGTACAGCCACGATCAAATCAACAAAAGGCACTTTCAATTACTACAACCGTAACCAACATCAACTTTTTTCACCGTACCTCTAAATCAGCCATCTTACAAAGTTTTGGTCCCACCTTGATTTAAAAATCCTTTTTTCGAATTTGAAATAGAGCGGCAAGATCTTTTAATACTGAACTTTTTAACTTTATGATGCTGTTTGATAATACATTGAGCCACGTGTGAAGATGTAAGCACATAAATCGTTTTGTAAAAGCTTTGTAGCAATAGTCTGACATTAGACCATTTCAGTACAAATAAATGCAATCTTGGTCAAAACTTCCAAGCTTGACGGACCTGCTCTTTGTCAGATGGAAGTGCATCGAGTCCTTCATTTGCAAGTCTTTGTTTCCAAATCGGTTACAGTATGGTCTTTCTGTACTTTTGATTAGAAACTTCAAGAGACATGTCCGGACTTGAAATGGGAAGAATGCACAACAGCACTGCAACCTGAAAACTTAAAGAAAAGTAGAAGCTTGGATATTGTTGCAAGTATGTGAAAGCTTATTATTCTTGGTAAATTCTAAAGCTTTAAATGCCTGCTAGTTATGATCTATGAGAAGACATGTCTATTGAGATATTTTAGCAATCCTTTTAAGACGAATCGGTCTGAAGATCACAATTTTAGCTCTGATATGCAATAAACAGAAATGCTTGTATGTTATCATCAATGGTGCTTTGAAGAGGTGATCCAGGGGGGCCACAGTCCCAGGCCCCGGGCTTATGGTAACTCGCACCAAGAAAATAAATAAAAATTGTAAAAGACAAGAGGCCTTGAGTCCCTAGAGCGGTCGCTGATTATCATCGGCAATGGCCAGAAATTTATCGTCAACTTTGATCAAGCTTTAACAGTCCTGTCCTTCCGCAATCTTTAGTAGTTGTAGTCTAAATCATTTTATAGAAAGGAATACACTTGCTTAACCAACCTATTAAACTATTAAACATAATGAAAACTCCTGCTCCTTGCGTACTTTAAAATGCTTTCAATATGTCCACTACAAAATAAGATAAGGCTGCAAAGAGAACGACTTTAGCTTCTTTAGAACTGTATCGCAGTATTGCTTGTAGCACGCGGGAGTTTTTTCGTATCCAATGCATAATATTTCGAACACTTATAATCCGTTTAAATTCATTCCCTATATTGCTTTGTCAGTCTTTGCGTTTGGATCTTAATTCTTAGATCAACTTTTTTCATTTTAGGAGACAACGATCGAGTGATTTTGAGCCCTGATCCAAGAAACTCAAGCGCCAGTTTCATAAATGCTGTCAGCATTGAGGTATAGCCACGAGACGTCGTTGCAAAATTTACCATAAACTTCTTTTTCTCTGTTTGGCTATGCAAACTGCCTTTACATCACTTTTTATGTAGTATAATTTTCCTTGATTAAAGATGGACAGGAAATGATTCAATACAATTTCAGAAAGTGCATCTTGTGCTTTCTATTAATTTAAATCGCTTTAAACCCTATCAAATTCTTAATAGATATTCTTAAAGTATTCGTAAAAGCCAAAAATGATTACTAGATTCAGACTCATTCTTTTGCAGCTGAATAATGTTTATATTGGGTAATTTAGGCATGAATTCTTGATTTTCTTATGTAATTCGACGTAACCACTGTATACTTTAACGTAAACTCCCAACCTTATAACTCTCTTTTATACTACTCAACTTCATTTCAAATTATATTTTATAAATGCCGATTGTAAACTAATTTTTTAATCTAATTTTGTTTATTGTTTTTATTCTAACAGGACTACTGGAAAACAGTGTAAATATGTATATATGCATATCACTACTGAAGTATTATCCTGTATAATTATTCGAGAATAATAATAATAATAAGTAAGGCACCACAAAACACCTTAGTGACTTAAAGGTCTTCCCATCATGCTCCAATGCGTCTTTTCTTCACAGGGCTACAAGGATAAAAGTGCTTTCATCCTCACCGAAGCCCCAATGGACGCAACTGTTTCGTTGCTATGGAAAATGGTCTACGAAAAGGACTGTAAAACAATTGTTGTTCTGTACGGGTTGAAAGAAAGTACAGAGGTAAGTTCACAGTATTCGAGTTGCCATTATAAGATATTGCAATGGCTGAATGCCCCTTATAAGGTAGCATAAATATGACGCTAGGTAGATTTTTATACCTGCCTGATGTGCGAAGAAACAGAATGCATCAGATTCACTCTCTTTCTCTCTCCTTGTTCTCAAAATACTGAAAAGCTATATTTTGTATTAATGATGGGTCTGGTTATAGGGTGTCTGGGCTGATTGAAAGTAGAACCGAAATGCTTACTGGTTTATGATCCCGTGCCCCTTGTTTGCGCAAAATGGAGCAAAATATAATGGCCATTATAATTATTCACACCAATGACGCAATTTTGATAGTTAAATTCAAACTGTGAATGTCAGAAGCATGTTTTAATTAACTGTTTTCATTTTTTAGACATATCCTTGCTTCTGGCCTGCAGACGAGGGCGAGCATGCAACAGAGACTTATGGGGGATTTTCTGTAGAAATGATCTCAGAACAGATGGATGGTGATATTTTTTCGAAAAGGCTGCAGCTTACGTCAGATGAAGTGAGTCAGCGACTGTTTTGATCTAGCCATCGCACATGGCATGGCCATTTTATCTATTTATTGCAATCTTCAGGCTAGCCATTTCTGATATTTCTAAGAAGGCTGAGTTAGTTATTTTGTAAAGACATTTACCCAGTTTTCTTAGTTGACAGGTTGATAGATTCAACGTTAGGCCTTTTTTATCTTGCAAAACAGCGAAGAATAAAAATGGCAAAACCATAATTTTTCTGGGATATTTTATTTGCTACTCTAAAGATTGTTCAACTCAGATGCCATTGTTAATATAAGGAAAACAAAAGTGTGGAATTTTAGCTACTTTGCATTTTGATGGATTAGATATCCTATTCATTCAACCAGTTTTGGATAAGCAGATTAAACTTGGTGTATCTAATGGTGTGCCTATCCCTGTATGTTTTAAGTCCGTTTTGTATCTGTTTCTTGGAAGCAAATTTTGTTTCATTTCAATAAGGAGCCTGGCAAATCCCGAGAGGTTCAGCTTCTACAATACGTTGGTTGGCCCTACCACGATGTTCCCGATTCAAAGCGAGATATTCTGGCTCTTATTAGCAGGGCCGAAGAATCCCAGCGTCGGCTTGGCAGCAGCCCGATTCTCGTTATTTGCAGGTATGATATAGCTCTCGTTTTTTGCAGGTAGAATATAGCACTAACGTGCTGTTGTGACTAGGGCATATTTGAACCCCTTTATTTTTCCAAAATGACCGTTTATAGTCTTGAAATGTTAAGGCTCAAATGAAATAGGAATTTCTATGTTTCTATGGTTTCTGGAGTTTCTATGACTGCAAGTGAGAAACTGGTACTCAAGCAAAGGGCATCTCAGCTCTATTTTCTAATGCAGGGTTGGGCGACCTTTCTGGAGAGTGGGCCAGATTCTTCAAGCCTTTTCTTTCATTGGGCCAAATGTAATAAGAAAAACGAATGCGATAGTCTTGTAATAATGATAATTAAAATTTTCATTTCGATTCATTTATACTACAATCACAAACCTCTTTGTTACATAGGTATAGTTTGCAACTGGCTAGCCTGGGTTTACAAGATAAGACTATTTCGATCGTAAGTGCAAATGGAAAAACTAGAAAAACAAGCAAAATTAGACAGAATATTTTTCAGGGTTTGGAGAAAACATCCTAGGGAGGAAATTCAGAACTATCCATCAATCAGCGTTTAGTCTTTTAGCTCAGACTTTTAATGCTCGTTAACATTAATTTGTCCAGTGTGGGCTCCTTCAGGCTGGAAATTGAGGAACTGCAGAATCGTGAAAATGTGATCCCTATCGTCTTTACTAATTGGAGCAAAAAGAATTCGTAGCAACGGATAACAAAAATATATTTCCTTGATTCCTGGGTTTGAAGAAGATAATCTCATTTTGAATCGATATGTTTCATTCAATATTTGTGACCGCTCAGAATATCATCCTTGCCAACCAAAAAATTATAATATGATCCCACATCTTGCGGACCACATAAACTCTTTTCACGGGCCGGATTCTGGCCCGCGGACCGGATTCTGGCCCGCGGGCCGAAGGTTGCCCACCCATGTTCTAATGTATAAAACTCTTAAATAAAAACGTCGGAGGGAATTCATACTTCTAATAAACTTTCAACTCCCATAAGAAGCACTTGCAAAATTGTAATTTTTAGACCTTGTTTGCGAACATAGAATTTGTTTTTTCGCTATTTATACGAGCAATGCTATTTTGTTTTGTAAGGCTCTCTCACAATTTAGAGCACGCGACATTAAAATATCCACTCTTATCAACTTGGTTTCACATACAAAATTCCAGTGCAGTTTTAGTCATCGTTCGTCATATCTGACCTTCGTCTATTGCTGTCTTTCTTGTATGCTGATCACTTTGTTATATATTAGACGATTGCTTATATCCTTATGGCTTGATCGTTTCAGTGACGGAGCCAGTCGATGTGGAACCTTTTGCTCAATATACAACTGCATCGAACGAGTCAAAGTGGAACAAATCATCGACGTATTTCAGGTTGTAAGAAGTATTCGGATGGTTCGACCACACGCCGTAGCTTCCGTGGTAAGTTATTGCGTAATATTGTTTGCAAACAAGATTTCAATAGTAACAAGAAAACATTTATTTTCAATTTTCTCAACCACTTATCAATACCACCTTATACCCATCCGCCATTCCCTTCATTTAACAGTGTCTCTCCTTATCCAAACTCATTCATAAAAATGTGTGTATCTTCCTTACTTGACATGACCAGATTATCCAATCCAATCACGGTTGAAAATATATTTGGATAACGATGTTAGGTTGTAGCCTTTAAAGAGAATATGGGACTGATTTGAAATTTTCTTATCTTTCTATCGATAATTTGATTCTTTCGTTGTCCTTTCTTACAGGGTCAAATGGAATATATATATGAAATGGTGTTGGAATATCTAAACTCATTCGACAATTACGTCACGTACAATTAACATTGATTCAACTCAATTCAGTGATACGCAGAGCATTTATCAACAATTTATAAACAGCTTCAAGCCGGCATTGGACATTCCGTATTTTGCAATCGACACCCTGATTTGCAATGCATTATTAACAGCGCCCGGTCATAATGAGCTTCAATGCCGCCATATTTGCGAACATGGTTTTTCAATGCTTAGGCCAAAGTAGTTTTAGTAATAACCAAATAATAACATTCAAGTGCAAAGTACATTTAAATTATTAAACGTTTATTTATATGCTTATATTACTGTATTATTCTGGCAAATTTTCATTACCGTTTCAGTTATGTTTTGTTTGTTCGTAATTTTGTTATAAAGTCAGTAACTGCCTTCCTCGTCCTGAACAACTTGACTTCTTTCAACACTCGTTGAGATTTAGTAGTGAAAAGATTTCTTCTTCTGTAAAATATCAATATTTGTAACCACTTCAAAATTTTGTTTGCCAACGTAAAAGCTACGATACAACAGGCCCTTAAAATCAGAAACAGATTAAAACAGAGAGATCGATTTTTGAAGAAAGAAAATTGTTTTTAGCAAAAGTATGATTATCTTTTTGTGAAAGTAACTGTTAGAAATTATATCAATATTGCCTTTTCAATAGTAATTTGGTCTTGCTTATACCCGCATACACACCCGTATTTTCGTAATTACCAAGAGTGCAAAAAGTTATTTTGATTACCTCCCACTTAACCGAACACAACAGAACACAAATCCTGTTAGTTTGCAAATTAAGGCAGCGACTCTTGTGAGTAAATGATCACATATATTTAATGTTAAGTTTTGTTTGAAAGTGACTATAAGTTTGTTTTATCCAATGCTGTTTTGTAAAAGTTAAATTATTGTACTATACCTTTATTCATTATCTACCGTAAATTGAGCAACAATATTTGGCCCTAAAGCTCAGGGCTTTAATTTTAGAAATTTTGTTAGATTATCAATACTCAATTTTCAATCCAATGTCTTATTAATTCGAAGCATATTCTTGGAAGCTGTTTGCAGCTCTCTTGGAGCTTTTTCGGATTGCTTTAGGGCTTTAAGTTATAATCAATATTCCTTAGAAAAATAGAAAAACAGTAAATTTCTCGAGGGAAAATCTAGTAAGGAACAACCAAGTTTGCTGGCAGCATCCCTGACGATTTTCTATTTTGTGTATCTTTGAGTAACAAGAGTATCTTTGAAAACAAAAGGTAAAAAATCAATTCATTTGTAAATTAGAAAATAGCTGTAAATGGAATGAAAAAAGTGGAATGCGCACAGTGGAAAATAGCAGAGTTCGCGGAGATGCGATCGCTGATCGTGCCTCGTTTGTGACTTCTCAACCTCATTTGAGTAAACACATGGATCGTTCTCTTGTCGCAGAACTCTATCTAAACTTTCGGCTTGAAAATGGTCAAAATAACAGTGGATCTAATCGAGCAGTGTGCTCAATACACAAATGCAGTGAAGGAAAGAGAGATCGACTTAAGGGGATACAAAATATCAGTTATAGAAAATATGGGTGCCACCTTGGTAAGCATTTTGTCCTGGCCTTCTTATCGACCTCTTGTTTTAGTTACCCGCCATTTTGGAAGCCTCTCATTTTCATGATTCCGAAACATCATCAAGTTTAAAACGCGACTTATAATATATTAAAAAACTGTGGGAGCTGCAAAGCCCAAATTTCCACCAGTGCTATAACATTTCTTCTATTGCTTTTTTAAGAGCCAACAAGTTCTTTGCATAATTTCCCATTCAAAACAAAGTTCCTCTAAAATTTCATGAAAGGACACATGTTAACCAACAAATGAGTGGGCGAAGCCGATTATTTATCGGGGTGGGTATTATTTTATTAGTAGTCTGGCAATAAGCTAGTAATGTATCCCTGCCCAGGTTGGACAGCATGTTTCACTTTGGCTACACAAGCTGCAACAACAGCACACCGTTTGCAGAGTATGGTTGATTTTGACAAGATACAGGGTGTGCCGAAAGCACTGCACATCGTCAGGTGCTGATGTGCAAAGTCAGCCAGATGGCCATATCACTGCCAATTTGTAAAACATTTAACTGATTTTTTTCATAATGGCCCATGTCTATTATTGTGTTCAGAATTGAAATTATTGTTAAGTGATTCTAACCAGGTTGGTAAAAATCTGAATGATTTTGCGGACGCATCAATGGGACTTAATGCACATTATCAGCTATGACCTGCAAGTGGAAGCATTTGAGCTGCGAGCAATAATGCCCATATTAACATTACCATAGATAATATATGTATTCCTTGATGTTTTGGGTCACTAGAGGTACAAGCACAAGAAGTCTAGCGTTGCTGCAAGCATATGCATATTTTCCAGTCTGGGATTCTAAGGTCTTAAAATCACTTTAGTTTAAAAGGTACATTTTGCAAATCTGAATTCAAATGTTATTTCAGATTTTCTATATTTCAGAATATCAAGTAAACAACAAAGCTAAATTAAATCCATATAGTGAAAGTTAATTAATAAAGTCCAGTTCACTTTTCCCCCTCTGCGAGCTCTAATTCTAAGCATGATCATCATGGTTTCTGTGTGGCTAGGCCAAATCAAATCACTGCAGCAGACAGTTTGTTATGATGGCAGCTTTCTAACTCAGGCTCAAAACATGTTGAGATAATTGCTATTATTTCCTGGATGTATTAGGTCAAAACATTCCTTGTCATGAACTTTGCGTTTGCTTTATACAACACTTTCCAAGCTTTTTAACAGAATATTCACATTTTGCTTTCGGAAATTTTTTGAATCAGTGAAATCAGCGAAAAATTTCACATTGTTTACAAACGAAAAAAAGGTGTAATGATTTTTGGACCTTAAATCGCAATTCTGCAGAGAAAAACATCACTGAGCGACTAAAACCTGAAAATTGCAAGTGCGCGGGCGCAAAAACAAATTCTTGTTGATCAGCCAATCATAAAGTGTTTTCAAGGCATGTGGAATGTGTTGTCGATTTTTAAGAAAGTAGACAAGATGGAGATTATAGGAACATATTTGTTCTCTTGGACAACGCATAAAGAGGATTTGTTAGTCAATTTGTGGCATGAAAAACCCTGCCTGTACGCCATATTCTCCCAACAATATGACAATAGGACGGCAAAAGCTGCATCCATGGCTGAGCTTGCTGGTGCTCTTGGTGTCACAGGCGGGTACCACTGCTCTCAATTATTTATAAACATATTTGAATAAACACAAACAAGATTTCTCTCTCATTGCACTAATAAATTTGCACCACTACTGATATGCCGCTAGGCTTAACGTTTCATAGGTTTTGTCATCTAAAATATATCTGATAATGCTTGAAAAGCTATGGTTAATGGTACTATAAATAATTTTCCTATATGAAGCAGTAAAGGGACTCAGTGTGTGAGACGTTTGCACTTAAATTAAAGGCACAGGTGGTGATTCTATATAGATGGAAAATGAATGCTCAATCTTTAAAACTGCTGCAAATCTAAAATTACTGTCATTTGATTGGTTTTAGCAAAGCTTTGATTTTGTTGATTGGTTTAGAGCAAGCTACATTCCTTTCAAATCATCCCTTTTAAAAAAATTCTCACTTAACAATGGCAGGAATTAAATAGGGTTGCATTTGGGGATCAACAAAGGGTGTTAGGCCCACTAAGCCCCCCTGCTCTTTGGCCGGTATATGAGCTGGACTATTCATGCTCATGAGCTGGACTGTTTATGCAATCGATCAAGTTGTAACCAGGAATGAAATTATGTTTATCTAGTCAGCCATTCAATGAATCTCAATCTTATTCTGTCCTGCAAAAACAATCTTTTAACAAGCTACATTTCTCTCCTTATTCCTTGTATTGAAAATAATTTTCTTGTATATTTATTTGTACTGCTGGTAAAGAAGCTGATGAATTTCTTGTGTATTACAAAATTAAAGAATTGCTCAAAAAAGCAAAAGAGTAGCATCATTGCATCGAATTGCGATAGCTAATGAGTTTCAAAAATTTAATACTGTTTGTGGATTCATTTTCAAAGTCTCCGACAGCGAGGGATATGGGGGATGATTGAAGTCTGTAGCCTCTGCACTTTTAAGCAAATCAAAGGAGCTTTATTTCGACTATGAACCTGTCTCCCACATCCACAAAAGAATTCTGCTTTTATCAGTTGTTTACTGTGAATTGTTAAAAACAACTGAGGCTGAAAAGCAAGTTAAAACTAAAAATATTAATCTTATTGGAGTTGGAATGAATTGAATTTTGGTAAGAGAGGTACAGAGCTAAAACAGGAAATGACAATCAGGACATAGAGAAATCGATTAGATAAGGAAGATTAATAAATGATTAAAATTTTTTTTAGACTAATTGATGCTGAAAGAGTTTTTCTGTTTAAAAAGTATATTCAAGATCCAATTTCACCATGACAGATAAGAATATATGGGATTATATGATGAATATTCAAAGAAAAAGTAGAAGGTTTATTATCTAATGGATATAATAAACAACATGTGATATACATATATATATGCATTCAAGCACAAGGAGGATGAGAGGCGATTTCTATATCAAGAATTGTTGTTACTGGTGACAAAAATTGCTAGGCTATAGAAGCACTTTAAAAATATTTTGTTGTGTCACTTTGAAAGTCTATCGATTGCTTAAAAGTTAGTACTTATAATATTAGTTGGTTTGCTTCAATTAATGATCACTTTGTTAACATTTTGCAAATATTGCTTATTGATAATGATACAAAAATACCTCATGAGCAACATTGCTTTATAGGATCAGTTTGACTGTATAGATTTCTCAGACAATGATATCAGAAAAGTTGAAGGATTCCCTCATTTAAAAAGGCTGAAAACAATTCTCTTCAATAACAACAGAATTTCGTAAGTATTCCATGTTTTTCAACTTTATTTGTTGTTTATAAAATAATTTTTGAATACCCTTTGAATAACCTACCTTGTGTTCTCCAGGATATATCTTGCAACACCTGTTTATGAAAACTGTAATACCACTTAATTTCTTTTAACTAACTACCCTCAACTATTTGGTACTGAAGTTAAAATTAGGTTTAAAAGTAGATTAACAGTTTTCACTTTTTCTATTTGCAGTATAGATTTTCATACCTCAGTAAAAACGTTTTGCATGATTCCATTTCTTGTACTTTTTATATTTGTACTTGAAACCACAACCATGATGTCCTGTTATTATGATAAAGTTATTGTTTTAGAATCTTTGAGCACTGCATTTACAACTTGTAGAGCATTCAATTTAATCTAAAAAGCTTCACAAATTGATGGAATTCAACAAACCATCAACGCAGCCATTCAGGAGTACAACACTTTTCAGAGTATTAGTTGTTAGAAAATCATCACAACAGAAGCAAAGTATCTAGTCATGGGGAAAGATATTTTTAGTTATGCAGCCTAACATTTTCAGTGATTTTTTTATTAAACAACTAGTATTTTTTTAGGGGCAAAAATTGCTAGGATTGGTGTTTTCAATGCAATATTAAATTTTTGTGTCTCTGATCCAAAGTCCTTATGCCTGTGTCTCAAGTTTTTAGCATCAAAATCTTGATTATCATTTTCTTGAAGTAAATTTTATATAAGATTTGTTTGTTCTTTGAATTAGTATTATTCTATAAAGCTAATATGATGTTCATATATTCTCTAGAAGATAATCAGATTTGCAGGTAAGTTGTGACAACATGACAAGCTTTTTGTCATTTGGTTGAGAGGCATCCCCCAGATTTCTGTTATTTCCTTAACTCATTGAATTTATCTTGAGACTTCTTGTCTTTTTTACACTTCATATAATCTGATTTATATTTTTAGCAATAAGTTAGACTTAATAGACTATGCATTTTGAAAGTTAGAGGGAAACAGATTAGCTGTAAATAGGCACAGTTCTTCAATTTCTGAAAAATGGAAGAAGGGGCAGGTTCCCCATATGTGCCCCAGTTCCTATGTCTATAAAATAGATTTTTCTATTGATAGCTCAGGAAAAATGTAACCTTTTCTAAATACTGGAAACTATTTTCTAAATTTTTATTGAAGCCATACTTTTTAAGCCTACTTTTGTTATCAAAGTGTGACATTCTAGCATTTAAAACATATTTACATAACTAAATGAAATTTAGAAACTAAAGAAAACCATTTGACCAGTTTTATACAATCACACTCATACAATTGATACTATGGTGTTAGTTGTAAACAACTGAAGCAAAAATTAATGGTAATAATGACATGTTGCTGTTTACTATATTTCTGCCTTCTCTGTCCAATTTCTGTTAATTTCTGTTTTACAGACGAGTACAAGAAAATCTAGAGGAATCGCTTCCTAATTTGGAAACACTTGTTCTCACAAATAACAACATTGCAGAACTGGTATGACAATAGGTTATTTACTATAAGGCATTTGACAAATTTGAAATTATGACCTGCATATATAAACCCAAACCTGCATATATAAACCCAAATCTGGATTTTTAGCTGTAGGAAAACAATTTCTTTGTTAAAATCTGACAAAAGCATTTAAATTGCTGAAGGGCAATTTTCATCTCACTGACTGTCAGCTAGTGCATTTTTCCAGCAATTACCTTCTCAGTTCATTGGATTTTCTAATTAATTATGTTATATTCCCTATGATTATCAATTTCTCATAGCTCAGGGCAATAACAAATGTCTTTTTTATTTCAGGCTGACCTGGAGCCGCTTGCTACAATTAAAAAATTAACATACTTAAGGTAAAATGATGCAAAAAATTACTTTTATTTTTTGTGCTCAATGTGTAGAAAAAGTTTTGTCAGTTTTTTTTATGAAAAAGCAGTATTAATTATTGCAATTGTTGCTGGGGAGGGGGTGATAAAAAATGTGCGATCAGACGCACTTAGAATCAATGAAATCTGAGAAACGTAAGTAAATTGTAATGAAATGTGATCAAGTAAACAATAGTGAAACATAAAAAGCTGTGACCTTGAAACCCATACCAATCACATGACAAGATAATTCAAATATGGGGCTACTCCTTTTCAGGCACTTTTACATGAAGAACTTGATAACCTATTTCAGTTCTTTGTGAAGTGTTCAGAGGAACCACCATAAAGACCTTAAAAGTTGTCACAATTTTGTAAGTTTTGAATCTAATTTGCATAAAGGGCTGGAGATGATGGTACTCCAGTGCTTCCATAAATTGTGTTATCTGAGTCTATTTCATGAACATAGAATAATGGACAATTAATATAATTAGTTTCTGTTTTTCATAAAAATGTTTGAAATGTGCAATTGATGAAATTTGCACAGCATTGGCCAAGGCCAGTGAAAATATTCCGTTTTTTTAATTTTGATGAAATTCTACAAATTCTACAACACAAGGATTCCTTCAAAGAGCCAATTTTTTGTTGACATTTTTTTCAAACTTCATTACTTTTGGGAGAAATATTCCAGATACACCCAAATAAAAGATACAACTCAATCCAAAATGGAGTTGTTTTCACCATTCCACCTCCCTGCATATGCTTTTGCAATTAATGCTAGAATGTAATTTGTAGGTTAATGCCTACATTTCAAGTGTAGCATCATATGGGCAACTGTACCTTACGGCCTGAATGTTTTTGGAACCTGGTCTGTATTAGATTCAAAAGGGTACTGCCACAGAGGGCGTGTCTAGTAGCCTCTGCAACAACACTGAAGCAAGTGCTTTAAAGTTTCTTAGAATTACAAGGAATTGGGTTACCGTAAGTCCTCGAATTTCTCGGCGGCTCATTTCGAAAAAAAATTTTTGGGCTTGGGGCTTAATCGAGGGCGGGGGCCTTTTTGTATTACCTTTTTTCACAAAAATTTCTTCAGGGTGGGGGCTTTCTCGATGAGGGGGGGGACTTATTCGAGAATCTACAGTATGCAATCAGCTGAACAGTAGGAAGCTTTCGACAACTAGGTAAGTTTTTGATGAAAATTATTTTACCGTTCCTTTGTAGCCGGTAGCGTGAAAGCATGAAACACTTGCCCACGACGCCACAAGATGTTTTTATAACCTTGAATTGAATTATATGGTTATTTACATTGGACATTGGAGTCTATGAATGTTATGTTTTCAAATTCATTATTATGACTATTGATTGCATTTTGTAAGTGTTTCAGTAAGTTTTTATATATATTAATTCTGTTATAGCTTGATGAGAAATCCCGTGGCAAACAAACAATCGTACAGACTATTTGTGATTCATAAGGTCCCTCAATTGCGAGTTCTTGACTTTGTGCGAGTCAGGCAAAAGGTTTGTTTGATTCTGCTTATCTATGTCGAATGGTGTCTGATCTTCATGAAATCTTGAGAGCAAAGGACACAAATATGAAGGGCCTTATCAAACAGGGTATTGTTGACGAATTGATCTTCTTAAGTGAATTTCTAAGGTATATATCTCAATGTTGATAATTTTTGTTACAGCTCAAAATACTGCTTTCTTGCTTCCACTCTCGCTCCTGGGCTGTCTTGTTGCTCTCATATTGTTTATTGTGAAACAGGGCTCCATGATTTTCAATACCCTCAAATACTTTTGAATGAAAGATTTTATCTTTTGAAAAAAGATAATTTGTCTATACATTTATGTACTTTATTTACGTTCAAACTACGATATATAGACCTAAATATTGTAGCTTTCTTTTAGGTTTCTTTCTGATGTAGAGACATCAGAAATTATCGAGAATGGTCTCAAATTTTGTGACTGAAATATTTTATAACGAAGAATAAAGCACCATTCCCCAACAATCTAAGGATTTTGCTGGGAAATTAAACATATTTCCAATGTCATCCTCGATTCAGTTTGAAGTTCTGTAAAGTTTAAACTTTAAAAAGTTTTAATTCACCAGTTATCCGTTTTGATTTCCAGGAGCGTGAAGCTGCAAAAAGGCTATTCTCGAGTAAACGCGGCGAACAGATGAAAAAAGACATAGCAGCAAAAAGACCGAAAACGTAGGCTTTTCTACCTTTCAACCTTAGCAATGTTTACAAAGTCTTTACAGATACTCAGCAACTTATTTTCACCGTAACGTTTTTTCTCAATCCAACACTGCTCGATCTTGTACCAATGGAAAATTGCCTTTTCTCTACTTTTTAGTGCCTGAAAGACCGCAGTAATTCTTAAGATCGTTTTAAGGAGTTTTTCCTACCAAAGTCAAGAGCAATATTCTATTTTATTCTGGATCAACTTTCAAAACCTTTCTAAAAGACTAAGAGGTGTTCAGAGCGCTGAACTGAGATTCTTTTCACCTCAATACCATTTACCCCCCGCCACTATCCTCACTGTCAGTAATAGCCTCGCTTTTTTGCATTTTTTCCCATGAGCGTTTTATTCGTTTTATTCCGCCGGTGATTTTTGTTCTGATTTGAGCCATGATTTGTTCTGAATGATTTTTCAGATTTGAGCCAAAGATGCCAGAACCGGTCAAGAAAAACCCCGAACAAGAGAAAGATATTGCTGCAATCAAGGTATTCCAAACATTTTTGTTTATTGTTTCATGTCGTCATACATATATAGTTCTCTCTATAAAACAAGCATCTGTGGTAGCCCTCTACCCAAACGTAGTACATTTAGCAGTTTTGTTAGCACATAGCTTGTAACACTGAGCATGCAGTTTCTCCAAGCCACACCCTGTCGTCGAAGTTCTTTGCGCATTGGGAGTAATTGCTGAACCCCTAGAAAGTTCTCGCAATGCTATTTATTTCTTGTTAGGACGCCCACTTAATTTGTTTTCGATCCCAAATATTTCAACCTAAGGATAATTGTCAATGTTTTCAATATATATTGAGAATTTACATTTGGCTGTGACAAATATTGGAAGAAATTAAGAAATCAAATTTTTGATGCCTAGCAAATTTGTTCATTATATCAAAATTTTCGGAAAACTCAGAAAACACCAAGTACATGGTCAGGCCATATAAAATTGATTAATTGATTCTCATCCGCGCCTGTATCATATTTTGACACTGCCTTAGTTTTTTTATATTTTATATTTTCATCTAAATATCCTGCCCGTTTTAGATTTATTTATAGTCGAACAATTTTATATTTAGTATTAACTTATTTTAAGAAAATTAAGTAATCCAACCTTTCCCAGTTTTTCATGCCCAACATAAAACAGCACGTAAGGCAAAGGATACCTCCTAGGGAGATGAAGAACACTTTGTGTTCTCTGTTCTTACACAAAAGGCTAGCCATAGACTGAAAATAACATAGACAACAGCAACCCAAACAGCAGTAGTTTTCAACAACAGTTAATAAATTTGTGTATTTTTAAATTTATGATTTGCCAGCTGTATTTTGCCGATAAAAAAGGGCGTGTCTCACTCTTTAAGGGTGTGGTCAAAAGATAAATACTCTTATATGCTGCTTTTATGCGTTTCTGTTTCAAAGTTTGTACTTTTGTGCCATACCTTGAAATTGTTGCGAAAAGGTCACAGGGTGAGTACAAAAATTGCTTCTTTTGCCCGGCCAAAATCCTTGATGTGTCAGCAGACAAATTGTTGGGGGGCACCGCACCTACCCCTACGTGCAATGACACGATAGAGCTGCCGTATTACAGCGCAAAAAACGACGACATTCGCATATTCTGTGGATCTGTGGATGAAAACGCCAAGTTTTTTCTTAATTTATCTTCTTATCTTCTTTACCTTAAAGTGAAAAGCCGAATTTTGAAAATTGGCGTTTTCATCATTTTCCAGTGACCTGAATGAAGGGTGTTGCACCAAAATCCATTTTGTGAGTTGCAAGGGTGTTGCAATTATTGTATGTGTCTAACAGCCCCAATCATTGATGCTTAAATCCGTTCCTGATTGTCTGCGACAGTCTGCATGTGTCTCCCGACTGTTGCAGACCGTTGCCGACACTCTTACGATCTGACAATTGGGACCAGGCTTAACATTTCTTAATGATATTTTGGTCTTATGATTACCGATTGGCGTTGTGTTTTGTTTCTTTAAAGCTACGACGGAAAAGGGGAGGACCGAACGGCTCTTTGGGGTTATTTACAAATGTTAAAGAATTTAGGCCCATTTATAAAATATTAAATTGCCGCCCGGCCAATATTTGTTGTGCCATTCTGATGAGAATCAACCAATTAATTTTATATGGCCTTAGTAAAATTGCCTCAACGTGAGGGGAAAATTTTCGACTTTGGTGATTTTTGTCAATTCAAATGAAATATAAATGACAGGACTTCACAATACCACTAATTTCGACCCAGTTGTCATGTTAATGAACAGTCTTCCGCTATGCATGAAAAAAGTCAAATAATGTTAGCCTGTCTACCGACTCTACGGAGGACAAAAAAGAGAGTCGTGCTTCTCTCCCGTCGATAGACTGCATGTTAGCTCTATAATGGAGGTTTAGGGCATAACCGGTTGTAAGATAATGTCCCAGCCTAGTCAAAGATTTATGAATAATTTTTTTGCGGTACAGAATTTGAAAATGGCTTTGAAAAAAGCAAACATTTTACAACATACTTAAAGCTTTTTCGTCTGACACTCCTCAGAGCATAAAACGTCAGAATAGGTTCCGAAAAAACACGATGGAAAAATATATACCCAGTTGTGGATCGAAATAGGCCAATCAGAAAAACGCAAGCACAAGACCGGTATAGTTGACCAATCAGTGCCGCGAGCCTAAAGAAAAATTACCAATGGAGTCCAAGAGAGAAAACGAACTCCTTTTGTCTACACAATGGCGGCTTTTTCGTTTTTATGTAGATTGACTCCAAAACTGCTAGATGGAAGGACGACCGGGCTCTGCCAATTATCCGAAACATGTCGTCATTATAGAGTTTTGCACAATCTGGGTTGTCTAAAAGATGTTGACCAATGGCAGAATCACTTGTTTTAACAGTGTTTCTAGACCTACAAGATCGAGGAGGCTGTTCTCTTTGAGGGGCAGTTTTGTTTCGTATGTTGGAAGGAACATGCTGTTTTATCCTATCCCCCAATCTTTGGGTTGTGCGCCCTACGTAGCCAGAATCACACTGGCACGTAAATTCATAAATGACGGAACTTTTTTGTTTGGTAGGAACGCAATCCTTTTGAATGGATGGAAGGGCTCTCCTAGTGCTGTAAACAATCCGAGGATTGACAGCAAAGAAACAATTGGTTATGGCTTGCCTAATCTGACTCTCGAATCGCAAGGAAGTGTTACCAATCCATGGTAGTTTCAAATAAACTGGGCACTTTTGCGGACCAAACTTTTGAACAGCCGAAAAACTTGCGATCTTCTCCTTAGTATAAGATAAAATGACGTCTTCAGGATAGGTCAGATTAGGCAAGCCATAACCAAATGTTTCTTTGCTGTCAATCCTCGGATTGTTTACAGCACTAGGAGAGCCCTTCCATCCATTCAAAAGGATTGCGTTCCTACCAAACAAAAAAGTTCCGTCATTTATGAATTTACGTGCCAGTGTGATTCTGGCTACGTAGGGCGCACAACCCAAAGATTGGGGGATAGGATAAAACAGCATGTTCCTTCCAACATACGAAACAAAACTGCCCCTCAAAGAGAACAGCCTCCTCGATCTTGTAGGTCTAGAAACACTGTTAAAACAAGTGATTCTGCCATTGGTCAACATCTTTTAGACAACCCAGATTGTGCAAAACTCTATAATGACGACATGTTTCGGATAATTGGCAGAGCCCGGTCGTCCTTCCATCTAGCAGTTTTGGAGTCAATCTACATAAAAACGAAAAAGCCGCCATTGTGTAGACAAAAGGAGTTCGTTTTCTCTCTTGGACTCCATTGGTAATTTTTCTTTAGGCTCGCGGCACTGATTGGTCAACTATACCGGTCTTGTGCTTGCGTTTTTCTGATTGGCCTATTTCGATCCACAACTGGGTATATTTTTTTCCATCGTGTTTTTTCGGAACCTATTCTGACGTTTTATGCTCTGAGGAGTGTCAGACGAAAAAGCTTTAAGTATGTTGTAAAATGTTTGCTTTTTTCAAAGCCATTTTCAAAGATTTATGTTTGAATACACAAGCATATTGCCTTGTTTTAATTCAAGGAAAGGTCTGTAACTGAATCGCTATCTTTCAAATTTAAAGTTTACGATGAAAATAATTGCGAAGGCCATCAAATCATAAACATTCGTCAGGACTAGGTCACTAAGCATTCCTAGCCTAAACATATAGCGCCATTTTTGTTCGTTAAATGTCATGGCCTTATCATCAATATTTTATATTTAGGATGCAATAGCAAAGGCGACGAGTCTCGAAGAAGTGCAGCGTCTTGAGCAAATGCTGAAGAAAGGTCAGGTGCCGGGCAAACAATCCAATGCGGAGGAGGAGAACGGAATCGAGGAAACCGAAGAAATGGACGAAACATGATTCCCAATCGAGATTAATAGCTATTCCATGCCTTTGGTATAGAACCAAAGTCATTTTGTACAGTGTTGGTTTTTGACAAATAACACTTGTGTCAACGAGGGCAGTACCAGAGTAAAGAGTAGGTTTCTTACACAGCCGAGGCCAAATGACGATGATTAACTGACTGTGTTTGGAAACTTAAAGGCAAAACTGAATTCTTTGTATGATTTTAAGTACCTGTTTTTAATCAAGTGCAAAGATAGTAGCCTTTTAATCGCAAAGTTTCCATTGAATTTTGGTTAATTTTGTTTTTTTTCTTTGAAAGTTTATTTTTGTATCACATCTTTTGTGTAAACAACTAGGATCATTGGTCTTTGTATGCCAGGCAGCGAAGAATGCACGAGGACCTTGTGGCAGTGTTAAGATATGGGGCGAAACATCGAAAGGAATCTGTGATTATACCTTTATATCTTTGGCTGCTACACACTTTCTATCTTGCCACGCCCTTTGGGTTCTATTAACATGGATTTTCAAGAATCCCTTACATTTCAACAACGGTATAGATCCTTATTTGTATACAGAAACAAGGATGATCAGAAACGAGGATGATCAGGAACGATGATGATCAGAAACGAGGATGATCAGAAACGAGGATGATCAGAAACGAGGATAATCAGAAACGAGGATGATCAGAAACGAGGATGATCGTTTATAACGAACACGCAAGACCCCACCACCATAACCTACCTTTTCTCCCTTCTTTCTCTGTAAAGCCGTTACAATCTTTTTTGCTTACATTTTTTGCTATATTTTTTTCAAAATTTAACTCTCAAACGAGGCCTTATTCTAAGATATTACCCTTTGATGCCAAGTTTCAATGTTATTATTCATCTTCCGGTCGAAAACAACGAGTCAATCTTTAAATCCTTTGCAGGAACAGCCATGGATACTCTTAACAGCAGTTTCAGGTCGAAAGCAACGCCCAGACATCATATCAATATTTTCATTAGACAAAGCCTTTTTGTCCATGTTTATATCAGTGCAACCTGATGTTATGTTTTTGAAATTCCTGAACTAGTAGGGTTCTTTAATTTGCGGGTTAAGGTTTTTGACAACGTCGTCAAAATTTTACTAAGAATAAAAGCATTAGTACATTTAATTTAATGTACAAGCGACTCTTCAAATTTATAAATGAAGATAATGCAAATATTTTGACATTGCTATTTGAAATACATATGTGTATTCAGAAAAGAGGATGATCAGAAACGAGGATTATCGTTTATTTATAAGGAACACGATTAAACAGGCTGAAATTTCTAAGGGCATCGATTAAACATCCCACGTGTGGATGCGTCTATACATAGTCCATAGTGTACCTGCAGGCAAGGCAAGTGATCGATTGAATGTGTTCATATTTTCTATTGCTTGTCTTAGCTATCGTTTTCACACACGTACATTGATGGATATGTTTTGAAAACGCATGTAGACACACCTACTCGAAACGTTGCTGAAAACTATGACAATGTCAGCTATTGCTGGTTTTTGTCTTGCGATTAGGCATCTTTTGTAAGATGAATCTTGTAGGAAACTTTGGTGTCCAGATAATAGAAACAGTATAAACACGTAGCTTTAGGTTGAATTATTTGTTATGAAAAGGATGAAACATGGTCACACTGTCAACATTCGTGGGAAGAAACTTTATTTTATGTACTTCAAACAAATTTCAGATAAACTAATTGAAATACAGATTTGAAACCACTAGTAAGCGAGTTGGTATTGCAGTTGAGTTCTGAAATAAGCATCAAATTCGAGAGACAACCACACGCCAAAACCAATTATATCTAAATATACGATTGCCAAATAGGTTATGCGAAAATGACATCTAAATTTGGAGGTATTTGGTGATGTTATTCTGTGATTTTATTTTTTTGAAACTGCCATTACGTTACAAACACTAAGTCTTGAGCATTTCCTGTTGGTAGCACGGGAGTTCTCCGGTAGTGAAATCTCGTTTTTGACGACCTTTGTATAAAATTTTATATTTGGTCCGGCTGGCGTCGTCACTGATTAGTTTTCATAGATCCCTAGCAGATGATAAAACCACATGCAATTTCGTGAGAAGTTTATGATACTTGAAGATACAAGGAACAGATTTAGCAACATGTTTGGTTTTAGTAAGAAGTGATACGTATGGAGACAATGAATTAACTGTTTATATTCTTTTTAAGTACCCTGAGAAATCCCAAAACGATTTTGGTTTCCGATTCAAAATGGACATAAAATAAAAATAAAACAGTGGTGAAATTTACAATGTTTTGCCTATTTCATTTCATTTATTTAGCGTACCTATTTAGCATTTATTTAGCGATATATCCCAACAATTACTGGAAAATAAGTAACCTTTTAACAGATGGTGTTTTAATAGCCAGGAAACGACCATTGAGGCATCTTCCTTGAAAAGCCACGCCCATTCCGATAGGGAACCAAACTGAAAGCTCCTTCGGACAAGCTGCTGACATCATGAACAAATCCGAAGTGATTTCTTACTGAAGTGAAAGCCGCCTGGTAAATGGTGGCAAGAGGTGAAAACAGTGTTCGTTTACTTTCAATTTCAATTTGAAAGGCAAAGTTTAAGCTGTAGTGGACATGGATGGATTTATGAACATCAGATTTTCAATATTTTGACTACATTATAACCAGGCCTAATTCCTAACGTCGAACGAGAGCCAATTGGGGATGCCTCGAGAACTCCTGATAGCGTTCATCATTTCCATATCTTTCATAGATTTGGGTAAGTATTATCATGACGATAGATTTTCATTGTAAGAATCGAACAAAAACTGTTTACGCATATATCACGGCGCCATTGAAATGTTTAGATGAATTTAATATCAGACCATGTGAAGAGAAACATTCTTCAACTGAGTATGGTTTTGGACGGAGAATGCAGATTACTTCAAAACTCTGTGGTTTATGTTTGAAAGCTGCTGAGAAGAAAAAACACCGAGCTTTCTCCTGAATAAATTTGTGCATGATATTTTGCGATTTGCCACAGTTGAGGAAACTTAGCAACTTCTCTCGTGATTCTCTGGAACACTTTACCATCCTATCTAACAAACATATAATGGCGTATTTATATGTTCTTGTCTTTATATTTCTTTGTCAATAAATTTTTATAAGCATGCTAATAGTGATTTTTTTGTGGCTGTAAGATCTGTAAATGACACAGGAAAAACAATAATTGACTTGTGGCTGTGTCATGTTTTTAGAGAATCAAGCAAATTTCCAATGTGTCCTGCGATTTATATTGTCTGGTACCAAATGATAATATTGTCTGGATAGAAAAGGGTCTTTATATTTTCAACTTTTAATTTTCTTATTTTATTGAATTCTGTTACAGTCTTTCCATCTTGCCTGGAATCAAAGTCACTGGGGACAGGACAGGGCACAGAGTCTCAGAATATAGGGACTGGAACAACCTTTGAAAATCATAATGCATCACAAACAGAACTAAATAATGGCACAGGATGGTGTGTAAAAAATGACATTGCTCCATCTCTTGTGATCAAATTCAATAAGTTAATAACAGTTTCAAAAGTCGGCACTCAAGGAGCCATACTTTACAATGAGACATACTTTGCATCAAATTTTCGATTGCAATTTGGGTATGATGATGGGAAGTGGTATGGATACCAGAAGAACAGCGAACCTGTGGTAATTATATTTGAAAAGTTAATTACTATCACAGCGTACAAAATTAAGGAATAATCCTGCCAATTATTTGTTTGTCTTCTTTGGAATGATTGTTCATATGTAAGTCAGGGGTGTAGATCTATAAAGGCTCCAGGGGAAGCAGGGGCATCACTTCACACTTTTTGTTGGGGGGGGGGAAGGCTGCATATTTGCCCTGCAGAAAACTGTAACACTAACACATAAAATATGGTAAGTTGTTCCCGCTTAGGTCCTTGCCCAATGTGTCCACAAGTTCACCAATGTGTTTGTCTAACCTTGGGGAGATGAGCAAGAGAAAGTTTCTTAATAAGTGACGCAACCCTCCATCTTGGATTCGAAGAGCATGCACTCATTTTTTACAACACACTTTTGATATACACATGATATAGCATTTCACAAGATGAGGGTATCAAAGCTTCCCTCAATGCCATTAAAAAATCATTACAGGGAAACTACCCTGCTGCAAATAAAATACAATATGTGATTGTTATTCTCAAACATAATTATTTTACCTTTACACTCTTATTTTATAAGAACAATTTCATAAGAACACAAGCCTGAGCTACCCTAAAATGTAACTTTGAACAATGTTTCATCTCAAAAATGAGGGGTTTTTTGCCATCTTGGGATGCTTTTTTGGTGAATATTCAAATATAGCGGCAAATGAAGGTTTTCTCGGGCATAGTTAAAAATTTTGGAAAAGATTTATCGATGACATAATCTTCATCTGGCAAACACAAGCTTGAAAACCTACAGGAATTTATACAATATTGTATGCATTCATGCATTCAACATTGAATTGGGGGAGGGGGGAAGTTATTTTTTAAAGAAAAATGAAAATACAAGCTTTCCTTGAAAAGTCTCAACCATTTTGATCAGGGATTGTAGGTGCGTTCTTGCCATCATTTTTTGAGGAATATTTTGTGAGAGCTATCTGTTTTTTCACAATCTACAACCCCTTGATGTTTATGTATAGTTTTTTATGATTCTATGAAATCATTGTATTGAAGGGTTGTGGGTTTGAAATAGGTAGATCAAATGGTACAGTTATTCACAGTAGCAATGGGCATTTCAGTTCACTTAGAGGATAGTTTGTATCCAGTTATTTTTTATATGTTCTGAGTAAATGAAGGGACAATAATTGCAATAATTCTTCTTGTTTGGATCAAGATTTGCTAAGATTCATAAAGTAGTATGTCTGCAAAGAGTCAGAGAAAAAGTGATCTAGTTTGCTGTTTTTCAACTTTTCTTTGCTTTTTTTCAATTTTTTCTGTACCATAGGCTTAATTTGTTTTAATCATTGTCATAGGTTTTCATGGGGAACACTGATTCTGTCACTGTAGTGAACAACAACATCCAAGAAACTATGGCAAAAGTTGTGAAGATAGTGCCAATATTTCCAGAGAGCAAGAATATAATTTGTCTCAGAATGGAGCTCTATGGATGCAAATATGGTAAGCTTCAATATGAGCAAATATTAAAGTTTATAGCTGGTTTGCCCCATCTGATGAACTGAGATTTGCTGTAGAACAATGGAATCACATCATGGTGTCAGAATTACAAGAAAACATACTGAAAGTAATATTTTCTTAAAGACTTTTTTCTTGCTATGGAAATATTTTCCACACAAAACAAATTGAAGCTACTCAAAAGCTCTTTCCATCAAAAGGCTGTTGTAAGCATCCCCTCTAGTGAGAGCCTCTTGAAATTAACACCCCCTCAAATGAGTGCCCTGGCAAAAGACATGACTTTTAAATACAACAAAAGTTGGCTTTTGAATGAATGCTTTGATGCTCTTTTGTGGCAATACGGTATTCCACAAGAAGTAAAGTCAATCTTTCATTATGAAGCTGCTAAAACTTTACAAGATGATTCATCTGGGATTTCATAGGCAGGCAGTGCATGGTTAAGATGATTAATAGTATATTTCTTGAGAATATCTTTCAGGAATTCAGCCTTTAACATATGCCACAAAACTTATGAAAGCAATTTCAATATGGAACCTGATTTATAATGAGCTTAGAGAAGATAAAAATCTTGCCATTGCTTTTGTAGCTTATAAGATTTCATTTCTGATTTATTTAAAGCTCTGAAACCAAAGCTGACTGTGGACAGAGAACTTTTAATCCTGAAATATGGAGAAAGTGACAGCATTATGTGTAACACAAGTGGGCAAGTTGGGATGACATCATCATGGCAGAAGCCCCCAAGTGATGTGAGATCAACTGAGCATGTCATAGCCAACAGAACATATGGCATCTTTCACAAAATGTCACGAAAACTTAGCTTTGTCCAACCTGCTATTTTTCAAAATTTTGATGGGAGTTGTGCCCTTGAAAAAAAAGATGCTGTTGTTGTCTGCAAGAAAAACTATACATGCCTTGCATCTTACTGGTTTGACAGATCTGTGAAAAGTGCAAAGCGAGTTGATGTGCACTTTGAAAAAGGTATCAAGATGCTATTTAAAATTACATTAGAAGCCAGTATTATGTTTGTAATGTAAAGGTGCAATGCAAAGGTGCAATGCAAAGGTGCATTGGCCGAGGGGCAGGGAGTTTATCTTTCCATTTTAAATTGGTCTCTCTTTTTTATTGCCCTTCTGCTTGTGTTACTTTGAAGACACCTTATGTAATCTCCAGATGGTACGATGTGCTTTTCTGTGGTTTGCATTTCGAATTGTCCCCTTAAAAACCTTGGGAATTTTCGTATGGCATTAAACCAGAATTGCATTTCTCTTTTCCTAGGCATCACATACAATATGCTGATAAACTCTGGCAGTCTGTCCCCTGTACATATTGACATAGGATCAGTCGTTAATCTTAAATGTTCAGCTCGCACTCAAGACACAGCCACAATTAAATGGTACCATAGGGCAGTTAAAGCGTGGAATAGCTCAGCAGAAACGAAGAAAGAACGTCATCTGAACTTCTACAGAGAAAATGATCTTTCCTTCACACCATCTTCATCTGTTGTTATTAATACTCTTACTTGTTCGAGAGGCAAAGCTGAATCAAATGAGATACGCTGTGACACGAAATTCAATTGTAAAGTAAACTATAATTTTAACGAGAGCCTTTTTGAAGAAAAGCAAGTAGATGTCGCATTTTTCATACGTAAGTTTTTATGTTATTCTTGTTAGTCATTCTCTGTAAACATAATGTTGTACTAACAATACTTTTTACTAAGTATCTTCAAAATCTCCAGATCTATCTTGGTTTTTGGCCAATTTAAACCAATTTTATTTTTATTTTTAATGACTCCTCCTTAAGATACATCAAGCTCATGTTTGAATAAGGCAGCTTCTAAGGACTAATCACAACAACGACTTTTAGCTTAGCAATAGAACAGCATGACTTGTTCAAGTCTCTCTCCTTCAACAAATCTCGCTCTTACTGTACTTTCCACCATCGCTCCTCCTTAGGAGCATCGATTCTCGCTCAGCTGGCAGGGGTAGCCAAGAAAACACAAATTTCAAGGAGTGAGACTATCCAGCAGCTCGCTAGTCATTTATCTACTGACAGTATTCCATTCACTGTATGATTTGATGAAATCCATGTAGGTCAAAGTCGTAAAGGCTATTACAATCATTTTGTATCTTGGCATCCCTCTGTTTGAATGACGCAAGTTAATGAAAAGTTATGACTTTTGTTACTAGCCCTTCCGAAGCAACCCGACTCACCAAGGGCTGAATGCACCTCTGACATGTGCACACTCTCGTGGTCACTGACTGATCTTGGTGGTGTGGTGAAATCAAATTTATATTACAGCGTCAGCATTAATGGAGACGTGAGAACTACTTCCCTGCAAGACCAAGCTTTTGTTGCCGACCCATTAGACCCGAATGAAAAATACACCGCAGCCATAAAAGCACTTGTCAAGAAATCTGATGGGACGCTTGTCTGGGAGAGTCAACCTGTATCTCTCAATTTTGAAACAAAGCCTTCTAGTAAGTTTTATTACTTTCTTTAGATTCTGTTGAGTTTTTTATTCAGCCTTTATTTGCCTTTGTGGATATGCTTTGACTTTTCCTTATTTCTTCGATAAAGCAGATCTAGGAACAGCTTGTGTCTAGACTTCAAAAATCTGACGCTTTGCTGGCCATTAAGAACATTCAATTAAGAACTTTATATAGTAGGCACCCACAGAAAAGAAGTTGCGTTCTCCATTGGATGTAAATTAATTTTGTTTGCAGATGTGTTTTATTAACAGCCAACTTCCAGAAGCAAAAATAGACGTTTGATCTCTCAATATCACTCGCACGGGGAGGTTTTATACTTGTTTGCATTGACCAATACAGGCTTTTTATGGCCTAAGCTAAAATTACAATTCCTTTTTTTGACGTGCAGAACATCGTGGTTCTAAATTCATTATGTTATTTTCCTTCATAGGCCTGACAACCAAACAAAAAATACTGTCAGTTAAAAGCACTAGCAACAACATTACGTTTAATTGGGAGGTGAGTTTTTGCAGAGTATCTACTTTTTACGGCTTCCATACTACTTGCACGTCATGTCTCCTCCTTGTTGTTAAGGTTTTCACCTTTTATTCGTATAGGGAATCTATAAAACTTTTTTACATGCGAATTTTTTCAATGCTTTCTTAAGACTGTAAATGTATTGAATTGTATACTGCTGAATCCCGTTAGTCGTACCATGAAAACATCGGACTTTCACTAAGTCGGAATGATTTGCAATTCCGATTGGGTTACCCTTCCTTATTCAATCATAAGTTGTACCCAAGATAAGTAGGACATGCTATGTCGAACCATTTCTTCACCCCCGCCCCCTTAATGGGATTCAACTGTATATATGTATGTATCTTTCAACTGTATGTATAATCTTTTTGTCAAAAACCTGTTTGTAGCCTGGTTCAGAAAACAAAACAAAAAATAAAAAATAGTAAGCTAGAATTCTAATAACAAATTATGCACATTTAAAAATCTTAAAATCTCTAAAGTCGGAAATGAATAATAAGAAGAAAAGAATACATTTACAAGGCGATGATTATAGATTTACAAGGCGAACAACAGAGTAACATTTATCATGTAAATGGACCTGTATAGCTATCAAATTTCCCATTTATTGTATGCAGAAAACAGTCCTGCCCCCTGAAAATGGTAAAGTTTTGAAGTATGATTTGACATTGGTACAAACTATGTATGGCAACCTTGATGTTAAGCGCGTCTACATGCTGACTCCGATTCAGAGCGTGACAAATGTTGACAGCGAGACGACTCAGTTCACTTTTCGCAGACTCAAACCCTGGAGTAGATATCAGTTAAAGATCCGAGCAGTGAATAATCACTTCATGCCTGGACCAAGTACAGAGTTCTATCATAGTACGAAAGAGGCAGGTATGTCATGTGGTTGAGTTCATTAAGTTTACACGGGTCCCTAGGGATGGGGTGGGGAGTAGTAAGACTTCTGTTCCGATACCAGAAGGAAGGAAGAGCTAGTGCACTACCTGCCCGGTACCCTTCCCCAGAGGTGCAAAATTCGATCTCCCGCATCTGGGTCGACTGGTTTTTATCTGCGGGAGACCGCTTATCGTTACACAGGGTAACCGCCGTGCGATCAAATTTTTACTGGAAATATCCACCTCTACGCCAGAGCTCCGTTTGGGAGACCGCAGGCCATATGCAGAAGACCACTGAAGGAGCTGCTGGTCTCTCATTGAGGGACCAACTTTTACCGGAATTGTCCACCCCTACAGCCCCCCAAAGTTAAGTAGACGAATTTATTAAGCTTTCGGGGAAGCAATTGTTTGGGCGTCATAGCTCCGCTTACCTACCAATAACCCAACTGTCTGCTGTGACATCATTTATTTGTCAAATATGCATTCATTTTTCTTAATGTAGCTCGTAACTAGAATCTTTACTCAAGTGCTTTTCTACCCCGTTTTTAAAGAAATGTATTCTCGATTTCTAGCGCATATTTCATAAACTATTAAAGATATTGTAATTTATTATGTTATTTTGATTGCACAGATTACAATGATAACACTGTAAAGGGTTTTTAAAAAACTGACTTTTTGCCTGGTTGGAGTAAAGGGTGGATATAAAGATTGCATCATTGGCCCTAGGCTGGACTCCATTTTGCTCTACTAGCATTTGCAAATTTCTTTCTCTAATTTTTCTTTGGGAGACGTTGCACAGGAGAAAATAGGAAGTTACGTTGAAAATGTAGAAATTTGTAGTTGTTGTGCATTGTTTTGTCACCTGAAATGGTCTGTAGAGGGAAATGGGCCCTTGGAAATGTGCAGTTGTTACAATAAAATTTTCACACAGATGAATAGCCCCAGTAAACTCGTAATAACAGGTAAATCTATCGAGTAGGGTTTCACAAGTCGAGCATTTGATGACAAGATTCTAAAGACATTGAATCCAGTTTATTGATATGTTGTTTCGTAATTCTATTGCAGTTCCATCAGTACCCCCTGGTAATATCCAAGGTTATCATGTGCAACCCAGCTACATCATTCTTCGTTGGGAGCAGCCTCTCTTTGTGACACTCAATGGGAGGCTCACACATTATGTAGTGAGGTGGAGACCAATCAAGACACAGAGAAGCATTCGTTCAACTGGCAACTTGGAGAAGCTCGTCGACAAGTTGGTTTGCCAACCTCATTGCCAAGTGAAAATTGACAGTCTTGAGCCATTTCAGGTATACGGGTTTCAAGTTGCTGCCAAGAATGTTGTGGATGTTGGGAAATTCAGCGCTGAAAAGTCAGTGAGAACTGCCCAAGCAGGTATACCATTGTGTTTTTCGTTGTTTTCTCTCTACGCCTTCTGGGATGAAAATTATAAGTGGGCGTTTGGCTTGGTTTTGTATGGCGCTTTTTGTACATTCGTATCTACCTACAAGGAAAATATGTCACCTTTTGTATATTTTTATCGTAAATTTATTTGTTATACAGATGATTTTGCAACTTTCTAAAATCTGAAGTATTGTTTGATTTCAGCACCATCTGCTCCACACTCGCTCACTTACAATGAAAACAAGACAACATTTTTTTTAATATGGAAAGCACCGATAAGGCCAAATGGAATCTTGAAGGAGTACGAGATAAAATTGAAAGCTGAAGGCAGCATCATTACTAGATTTACAGAAAGCACTGATCTCTTTTATGACACCAAAATAAATTCTTCGGATTCGATTGAATTCAAGGTACAAAACCGTTCATCTTTCTCCTTTTTTATTTGGCATAACGACAGTGTATGATCGGCGGTAAATGATACAATTTCTTGGCTGCTGTGGTGAGGGGTATGGGTACGAATCAAAGGTCGATCCGTGATTGGACGCCTGGCTTCTGTTTAGGAAAGATTGAAAAAAGTTAATGAATCAGTGAATCAGAAAAGAATATCAGAGATCGAATGTGTTCATCTTAGATCCCTGTGTTTTTGCCTTGCACAATTGTCCTATATGAGCAGCCTGTATATTCAATTGAAGTTTATTTTGAGCGTGCAACCAGACCTTTTGCAATAAAGTAGATATCGAATGATTTAAAGTGCAAATATTTTAAGATTTTATGTTACTTAAACAAACTAATAGGCAATGCCTCAAATGCTAATATATTTCCTTGCTATTAAAAAATTTGACGTGCCAACTCTTTCTCGCCAATCCTAAAATTGAATTTTTAGCGTTACTTTCTTGTGAATATTTTCTAGGTGAGGGGATACACATCAGATTTCCACAACATCGGGGGTTTAGCGGGAGATTGGTCTTCTTGGGCAACAGCGAGTAAGTATATTGTTTGCATTGGCGACGCATTTAAGACATTGGTATTTGATATATTGGTATTTAGACACGCTATGACAGGCCTTGCAGTGAAATCTTGTCAAATGATGGTATCTTGAGGCATGTTTATAGGCCTATGCATTTGGCCAAACAGGATTTTTCTTCGTCATCTTTAATATAAATTTTTTCTTAACAGCGGCGGTTTTCGAGACTGCGAGGCCCGGATTTTTTTCTAAAGTGCGGGGTCCCTTCTGGTAACCGTAAGCGTGGGGCATAGGGCCGTGGCTCCCATTGCCCATCACCGTTTCTAAACAAAGCATGAAGTTCTGATTTATGCTGTTAGAGCACCAAAACCATCGACAATGCCTGTCACAAGTCTGAGTACTGCATCCAAACAATTCTGTTATATGTAATCCTAAAAGTTCCGGTATGACCCAATGGATTCCCTATGAAATTTATCTCGACAATGAACCATTTTTATGTACGAAGAATGAGTGCATTTTGTGGGGATGCAGCGGGATGCAACAAGGCTATTTACTTGGTACCTTGCGTAATGCAACATCAACAAGGTTTTTTGGGGAGAAGGGGCCCTGCTGGTCTTTTTTTACTGGAAACGGTTTTTATTCAAATCAAAGCATAAGCAACTGAACGTTCCAAGGACTTCTGGATTCTTTCAATTCAAAGGATTCAAAATCGATTCTATAAAATGCGCTATCTAAACCTGAAACAACCATTGGGTGAAGTTTTGTTGGCTTGAGTTTGTGTCGGTTTTCCATGTCCCGTTTGCTTGGGGATTACACAATCCGCGCATCTCTGGTTGGCCTTTTTCAAGATACGACATGTTAGGAGGGGGATCTAACGCTTTGTCGCTCCACAGTCGCGCTACAGTCGCATCGAACTGTATTCCGTTCGGCACATGGGAAGAGCGACGTTTAACTTAGGCCAGAGTGTAGCACAAAAGCCACAACATGAAGAAGTTTCAAAAAAGTTCTGTACAATTTTGTTTCAGCATATAATATTAAAGACTACAGTGAATACTATTTTTATTTGTAATCATACTCGGGACACTTCTGTTTCGTTTGGAAGATTAATATGCAAGCTTTAGCCAAACTTCTCCCCCGGTATGAGTGGTGTGGCTATGCCCCTCCTTTCTAACCACTGCAACGAGGCACCCTTTTAGGGATTCTGATCTCCCAACGCTGCCTAATAATATCCCTAGTCTTCAACTAAAATATATTTCTTTTACCTAATACATTTCCAAAAAAACAAGTTGCCTTATTGCTTATTATTTCTTTTCAGAGCGTTACATTACGCCAATAAAACCCAGCCCACAGTCTTCACAAGATGGGTCCGTGTTGGCCATTGTTCTGTCGTTCCTGGCTGTCCTGATCTTGCTCATCATCCTCATAACCGTATTTTTCGTATTCTACAGAAGGTATGCCAGCATACTTTTCTTAAGTCTGTTTCCCCACTGATCAAGGGGAACTGCTTTTCTATCAATTGATTTCCATGATTTCTTTTGAAGATTTTTTGACGCGTATAGGAAGCCGCTAACACTGGAAACTCTCTTGGTTCAGAAGCCAAAGTGTAAAAAAAGTGTTGCCTAAAGCCGTTAAAATTTTTTTGATTTATGGTTGATAACAAGCTTGAGTTGGCATAGGCAAATGATTTCTGATGCATGTAAAAAGATGTTCTCTCCCAAACCTTGTTTAAGTTTTTACGTTTGAACAATCCTAGTTGCATATAAAATACACAAATCCAAGAGGCGCGTGTCTTTTACCCCCCCCCCCCACCACCAGCATACATTCGAAACTGGTAAAATCCCAGTGGCATTTTGTCACTCACCCGCACCCCCCCCCTCGTCAAAACGGAGCTAAGATAGTTTATATTTACAGAAATGCTTTTTATGACGTATTTTTAACATTTAAATTTCATAATTTGACTTGGATATTGACTTCTCACTTGAGCTTAATCTCTTCCTTGCCCATACTTTGCAAAACATCAATTGCCCTCATAATCACTTTTGGGGATTTTTATCTGCAGAAGGGAGAGAGGAAGAAACAGGCAGAAGCTGGAGGTTGAGATGGATTCTGTGGCTGAGATAGAAAACGATGAAGATATAAACGTCATCACAGGAGAAGATATCCCATTGACTCGCTCTAACGGTAGTGGCGGTAAGGCTGGGCACCTTCAATGCAGTGTTTGCCTGCTTCCATTTGGTATTGGTTTTATTGCATACGCAGTTCTCGATCGTCAAGGCTTCTTCAAGGACCATCCATTTTTAACTCCATTTAAAGTAGCTGCATTTTCAACTGCTTTTTATCAAGTGGCCATGTGTTCAGGATATCTCGAATAAAGATTTCACATCGCAAGTTTTGTATGATACAGCGCATTCTGTCTCATATTCGGAAAAATTAAGCCTTATTTACTATGTTGCATATGCTCTTTCTAATCTGTAAGGTTTTTTATCAGAAACAGTTGATGTGCCAAGCGAAGAACACTCCCACTTGCCAATTCCAGTCGAAGAATTTCATAGTTACGTGAGCCGCATGAACGAGTCTGACGGGGAGCCGTTTCACCACCAGTACAGGGTACAGCTTTTTTGTATTATCCATTCCTCTTAGCGTTTTTTTTAAGCCTGTAAAATAACATTTCATTTAGATAGCTTTGGAAGATCTAGTTTAATAGCTTAGCCTAATTTGCCTGGGAAAAAATCTCGAGTGATATATAGTTACTAAGAGTTGTTAGCACGTTATTTGAGGTATTACGACGGCTTCCAAAAATATAGTCTTAAGGCTTAAGCATAGTCAGTAGAATAAAAGAGTCTGAAAGCGAAAAGGAATCCGAGACGAGCGAATAAAGCAGCTCTATGTAATCAAGAAGTTTTCCAAATTGTTTTTGGTTGAAGGAGGGTGACGATTTTGTAGATGATAAATCTGCATCAGACCTACCTCTTTGTTGCTTCAATTCAAGAAGGCGTTCAAAGTTTTTTAGTGCAGAGACAGAGGATTTTTTAGCACATTTGAGGGTCAAATTTTGAGATGTCTGGAAGGTTAGGTGAATTCTAGCAAACGGTTTTCGACAAAGACTTAGGAAACCTTTCCAAGGTAGGGGCACATGTAAGCAAAAAGGGCACCTCCGTTAGCTGCATAAAGCCACTTTACCTCTGTCGCTGAAATGTGGGTAGCGGCACGTGCCCCATGTGTCCCTCTTGCTATGATATTTAACCAAAAAGACTTTTGGTGGCCAACTATCGAGAAGGCTTTTAATTGGTTTTTCCTTTTGATTCTATTTCCCTTGATCAGGTTTTGATAATATATCGTGCCACATATCCCCATTCACACTTGCCAAACCCCCATATACTCTCTTTTCTCCAGCCTCTTTTTTGCTATCCATTAAGCCACCAGGTTCAATTATAGATAGGAACGTGAATGTCTTTCGATGTTGAGACAGACGATCAAGCACTGTAGGGATGTTTTAACCAGACTATTGTTTATCTTTTGTAATTTTTAATTACAGTATGAATTGATGAGTGGCAAATGCTGTTCAACAGAGGTCGCTTTGCGGAATGAAAACAAACCGAAAAACAGATACGTGAATATTGTTGCCTGTAAGTATTAAAAGGGGCATTATGAATCTAATTTTGTTGCAGGCATTGTAGCTAGTATGATGTACGGTTTGTCTGTGAATATATGTTTGTAGATAACCTTGTACAATTGCCTGATCATCATTAATCGTGAAACGCATAGCTGCGACTAAAGACTTCTGAGTCACCGTCATGATGTTAGAATGTGATGGGCAAGCTTTGATAGTTGTCTTTTTTCGGATTTAAAACTAAAACAAACCATATTTAAAATTCACAAAGATGAGACTATTTAATCTTCTGATTTATTATCAGTCACTTATGTAATCGCTTATTATAATGTGTTGTCTATTTCTTGAATGCAGTTTGCCCGCTGCTCAAAAAAAAGCATTCAGCTCTTCATTTTAGGCCTGTTTTTTTCAGATGACCATTCTCGTGTCATTTTAAAACCAGAAGCAGGCAGACGGCACATCCACCATCATGGCGAAACAGATTACTTCAACGCAAATTACATTGAGGTGAGCTTGTTTTGTTTAACTCGCGCGTGAAGACGGGGTACAAGCCGGGTTACCGCGATGAAAACGCGGTAGACTGAGATTAATGGAATTTTCGTAGAGTTGATAATAATGCCTTTTTGGTTCTCCAAACTGCAATACATAGTTTTAGTCTATGATGTTTACGTTTAATTCTTTTTTATTTTCAAGCTTTATCAGTCTAAAATGATATTGGCGTACAGTGGCATTGAAAATTCTTTCAGTTTCAGTTGCCCAGCTCTTATATGGAACAACCTCTGTTTAGGCCATGTCATTGAGGTTCAAAATTAAGGCTCTATTTTGTTTAAACATCAAGGCTCCAGATGATGTTGGCTGGTAGTCCTAACCTGGTATGGTTTGCTTATTCACGGTGCTATGCACATGTATTCTTATATAATTTTCTTGCGTTACCATTGTCTATCGTTGCAGGGCTATTGTCCGCAGTCAACCTCCAAATACATTGCCTGCCAAGGTATATGCTCAGCTTATGCTATCCTTGCATTTCTTTTCAAGGAATGATGCAATTTCTATTATTTCTGGTCTAATTTCCTACTAGATATGGACTACAAGACATTATTTTCTTGGAAAGTTTTGAAACACAAAATTCTTGAATGAATTAATCAGAAGCACCTGTTCTATTTACAAACTTGCTTTAACCTTTCCAAAATACGATTTATAATTTTGCGTAGTTTTTTGGTTTAGATATATTGCTTCTCCTAAGTTTCTTTCTATCTCTTTTAAAGCGAAAAATTATTTGTTCCAAATGTCTTAAAAGTCCAGTATTCATCGCTGATAAAATTTTCTCAGGACCTATGCAGTCTATTTTCACTGACTTTTGGAGGATGGTCTGGCAAGAAAACAGTAGTGTCATCGTAATGCTCACAAATTTAGAAGAAGGGGGCAAAGTAAGTGATTTTCTCACCTCGTATTCATATCGAGATTCACTCATATTCATATCGAGATTCACTCATATTCATATCGAGATTCACTCATATTCATATCCAGATTCACTCATCTTCATATCCAGATTCACTCATATTCATATCGAGATTCACTCATATTCATATCCAGATTCACTCATCTTCATATCGAGATTCACTCATATTCATATCGAGATTCACTCATATTCATATCGAGATTCACTCATATTCATATCGAGATTCACTCATATTCATATCCAGATTCACTCATCTTCATATCCAGATTCACTCATATTCATATCGAGATTCACTCATATTCATATCCAGATTCACTCATCTTCATATCGAGATTCACTCATATTCATATCGAGATTCACTCATATTCATATCGAGATTCACTCATATTCATATCGAGATTCACTCATATTCATATCCAGATTCACTCATCTTCATATCCAGATTCACTCATATTCATATCGAGATTCACTCATATTCATATCCAGATTCACTCATCTTCATATCGAGATTCACTCATATTCATATCGAGATTCACTCATATTCATATCGAGATTCACTCATATTCATATCGAGATTCACTCATATTCATATCCAGATTCACTCATCTTCATATCCAGATTCACTCATATTCATATCGAGATTCACTCATATTCATATCCAGATTCACTCATCTTCATATCGAGATTCACTCATATTCATATCGAGATTCACTCATATTCATATCGAGATTCACTCATATTCATATCGAGATTCACTCATATTCATATCCAGATTCACTCATATTCATATCGACATTCACACTGATTGTTGTCCTAGCTTACAGTTTGCTTCAAACATTGTACCTAGTATTATTATATTACGAGATTCTGTGACCATTAATATTCAAAGTTAAATCATTTTCAAAATACAGTTTAGGTAATCGGTGGTTGTTCACTGAAACAGCTTTAAAGAACAGCTTTTAAGAAATTCAATTTTCACTGCCAGCTTTTTATGAAGTCGTTTATTTAGAAAGTGCCAAATATAATATATTATTTGTACATGTAGCATTTCGCTTTGAATGTACCATATTTCTCTAAAGAATGCCATCCTCTGATAAACGCCGCCCTGCATTAAACGCCGCACTTTCGGCCAACCATTCATTATTACTCCCTTTGATGAACTTCTACCTTTGATAAACGACGCCCTCTTTTAATCGCCTCATCTTGAAAAGCGGCTTTAATTGTAACGAATAAGTTGTATGCTTACTTTTCCTAAGCTATGAAAGTTTTCATGTCACAGGCGAGAACTCTGACAGATACAGTGACATTTCTTGACATTTACATAACGTGAACACATCTTTTGGGAACTTTGAAACGTTTTTCACAAAATCTTTACTCTAGTTTTTGGGAAAGGAAAAATTGTTTACAGTCTGTTTTTATCTTTTGTATCGCACTTTCTTTTCATTTTTTATTTGACACACTTTTCATTTATTATAAACGCAGCCCTCTGATAAACGCTACCCTCTATTTAACGCCACATCCAAATGTTGGGTTTTGTAATAAACGCTGTGGCTTTTCTTAGAGAAAATACAGTGTGTATTAGCTTTATATAATGCTGTTGATCGCATTAAGCTCGGCGTAGCAGCTAGGAACCGTCCTGTTCCATCCACCAAAAGTGTATACAGCTCTGCTTATACGGAACGAGAACTTTATGGCAGACCGGTAAAAGAATAATTTTCATATATATCATTCATTATAAACTTATCTTTACACATTTTCTGTTTGGTACGCAACATTTAAACATTTTCTGCTGCAAAACACCAAGCAATAAGAATTTCGCAGTTTCTTATTTTGCTGACTTTTTCAGATCAAGTGCGACCAGTATTGGCCATCGGAAGGAGCAAGAAGATATGGTCACATTACCGTTCGTTTCAGAAATTGTGACCAAACGGCTGACTACCTGATCAGATATTTTGAAATTGAGAAGGTCAGTCAGTCAGGCTGAATTCTGTTAGATTTGAAATGTTCTCTCCTAGGCTTGAAAATTTACCAGAAATTTGTTGTTGTTGTTTCAAAGAACAGACCAGTTCATGCAATGAATTTACAGGTCTAAATTTAAAGTGCTGTTTCTATCATATGTACTTTTTGAAGTAATCAAACCACGCTTAGTTAAAGAGCCATGTTTTTCTGCTTCTTAAAATTGATAAATTTTAGGCTTAAACTTTTTTATAAATTGGGATAGATTATATATACCATATTTGTAGAAGATAATCTCGAGATTCGGTAAATTTTACAATGCATATTTTTGGAAATTTTGGTCCCCTTATCGTAAATCATTAAAAAAACATTTCGCTTGTTGATGCCAACACCTGCTGCTTTAACTATGGATTGGAAGAAAGGACCATTTCTAAGAACAAATACTGCTTTAATCGTTAGCTGTATTAGTATCTTTATTGTGATTTCTTGGGATTCAAAATAGGGTACTGGAAAAGAGAAAGAGAAAAGGACTGTGGTTCAGTTCCATTTTATATCATGGCCAGACAATCATATTCCCGAGCTAGCAACAGCAATTCTATCGCTGCGAAGGCGTGTCAGGCATCACTACTGTGGTGGTGCGCCGATGATAGTTCACTGCAGGTATGTTGTTTGTTTCAGTTGGATGGTACTTATCCTGTTTTGAAAGGGTTAGGCTGTGAAGAAAGCTTAGGCTTAATGTATCTGATGGTAGTATCGCAACATTTATGTCAATGTCCATTGTCCTTGCTAGGTCATTCATGTAAGATATCCTGGGTTGTGATATGACAATTGAAACAAAAAAACAATTTTTAAGTGATGTCCCAAAATTTCATATTTTGTGAATTTTCTCGAAACTTTGAACACGTTCGTGATAATTTCAGGTGTAGCCGAATTTCTTTTCGGCATACCTGACCCCGTCTCAACAAATTTGTCGTCTGGCCCTGTAACTTAGTTTTTCAAGCAGTACGTGGACAAACACATCAAATTCTGACAGCCTTGATCAAATTCTGACAAGTTTTCTCTTTTTCATAAAAATCTTTTTGCTCAGAATTTTGATTTATTTGTTGCTGGGTATCTGTTGTTTGATATATTTGCTTGGTGGAGATTTCAGGGTCTTTTGTAGGACAAGTTAAGGTGCCTATTTTCTAGATAAGGTGCTCAAGGTTACAAAGCAAGCGTCTAAAAATTTCAATTGCAAGAAATATCAGGATCATTTTTTTGGAGAATTAACTATTGTGGTTTTAATGAAAAATGTAAATAGGAGCCGACTGAAGAACTTGACCTTTTTTAACAGTCTGTGTTTTTCACAGAGTTTTATGCCATGAACTTGCAATCGACTATGGCTTCAGTGTGAGACGTTGTCCAGTATTTTCTCCCCAGGTGTATCTGAACTACTGTAGTAGTAAACCATATCTGCCGAATGTTGTTTTGTTGACATTGAGAATTCTGATTCGAGAATGATTGGACGTTTTACTGCTAACCCTCCGATCGATATCCAAAGGTGTAGTCCAAATTTAGTTGTTCGTCATCGAAATGTTTCTGAGCAGCCTTTAAATAGCGATTCGACTAATGACATTGCATGATAACCATGACAATGAGCCTTAAAATATTTCTTTACTTTGCAGTGCTGGTGTTGGTCGGACTGGCTGCTTTATTCTTATCGACGCTATGCTTGAGCGAATTGATAGTGGCGAGGGCAACGTGGATATTTTCAACTACTTGCAGTACATGAGAACAAGAAGAATAAATATGGTCCAAACTGCGGTATTTATATCTGAGTACTTTCGTCAATTCGTCTACAATTACCGCTGTTTACGCCTTTACAAACTTGTATTAAAAGCAAACGTGAAGACTTATGTAAAGGCACCAACTACGTGGGGCTTTGGGGCTCGAGCCCCCTTGTAATTTTTTAAAAGGGGACTCAACCATCCCTGGCAGCATTTTGATGCAGAACAGACTTTCAGGGAACATTCAAAAAACCTATCAAAGACAACAAATAAAAGGGGTGCTCTCAGGAGTCGATATTCTCTTAGTTTTTTTATATGTATTTACTTGTTAATTTCTTTGACTAAATTTTTCATGAACACTTTCCAAATGTCATGAGCCCCCTTTTCATATTTTGAGCCAACCCCGAGACAACCTGAAGTCGGCGCTTGAAAATTTTCAAGTTGCATTTCTCTGCCAAAACGTGTCGAAAGCAAGGTCTACCTACTGTGAATAATACAGAATGTATTCGCTAACTTGACCTTAACTTTTTGATAATAATCTTCGGTAGCCACACCTCTTACTTGAAAGTCAACCTTTTGAGATAATGTTATTTGATTTTTTTTCTGCTTTGCTAGTACCAATATATATTCGCTCATACTGCTGTTCTGGAATACATCACATTTGGAGATAACGAAATTTCAGCTATTGACTTCGAGGGGAAATTAAGAGAACTCAAAATTAATCGCAGTATCGAAGAGGAATTTAGGGTGAGATGATTAACTTTGTCTGTGTGTAGAATAACGTCAATAGATAAAGCACTTAGTTTCAAGCTTTTCTAGTTCTGCAATGGCTGGGCGCCAATTTTGATTATAAATTTGACGGCATTCAATTATTAAAACGACTGACACTGGATTGAGCCAGATAGCTAACGAGGTAGACACTTTTACAAAGGCAAATTCTTTCAAAGTGCAATAAATCGCGCAGCTTAGGTGTTTTCTCAATTTGTTGAAGCCGCGAAAATCTCAGTAATCTTTTTTCAGTAATTTTGGGCATAGACTATAGCACACTGGTACATTATGTTGGAAGGAAAACTCAATGGGCTATATTCTTGCTTGATCGTGGTATTTCGAAATAACAATGCATTTTGAACTTCTGAATTTTATCTCTTCTAGCTTATTGAGTCAACATCTCCAGATTTGGAGTCACTTGGTGAGTTTCAACTTTTTTAAGAAGAATTTGATTGATCAAGTTTTCTTCAGATCCTTTTGTTTCGAGGGTCCTTAATTTGATTACAAAATTAGCTGATTATGAAAGCAACTGATAAAGAAGGAACTACAGCCTCAACTTTGTTTTTCATGCCCTTGAAAGCTAGGCTGAAACTTTTTATCGTGCGATTGTGTTATCAAACGAGGAGACGCGGAGGAGCATTCTTTCTTACAAACCAAATGCTCCTCCGCCTGTCAGCTGTTTTTCTCCATTTCCTCATTTTGTGGCTCTAGTACCGAGGGTAGTTTGGCAATATGGCAGCGTTCCTCTCTCATATGAAGAGCTATACATACCTTTTGCAAGATTTACAACTCTTCTCTTCTCAATATTATAATTCTCCAGTGATTTAAGTTAGAATTCCATTTTTGGTAAAACTCTCTGAAGTGATTAATTTCCAACCACATGATCGTTTGGAAAAGTGCATAACAAATTTCATTTTCACGAATAGGCAATGCTAGTATTTTCAGGTGATTGTATATTACTTAATTTTTTAAGGAGCAAGAGGGGGTTTTGCTCAAAGATAGGTTTTTTTGCATCACAATTTTTTTATGAAAAAGCAAATGTTGCCATTTCGCCATGTATCACTCGCTTAAGACAAAAATACTTTCAAATTTCGTATTTGAAAAATTCTTATCTTTCCTCCTTCTTCTTGCAGACAACACTTGCAAAGTCCTTCTGAAGAATGGAAAATTTATTGAAGTCTTCTATATTGATGTGAGTAGCCAGAAAAAGATAATAGCGCGAAACAGACAGCCAGTCTATGCGACATTATTTAGCCCCAGAATAGATTGTATGTAAAGCTTAGATCAACAAACATCAAATTTCGAATATAGTTTTGCTGCTAAAATTACCTTTTTGATGAATTAGTGATCTCCCGTTTGAAGTGAACTTCGTATTTGCAATTAATGTAACTAATTGATTACATCTGGTAGTGTTTTTAAGAAATCCTCTTTGATCAATGCAAAACAAATATTTTCATAGGCACTTGTGAAGTAAGCCATATCTACACATTCCTTGATTAACGTAACTTGATTCACACTACCAGGCTGAAATATAGGCTATTTTTGCCGCCAACGCTTTTTGTGTTTGCCTATTTTAATCTGTAAGCTCTGTTTTGCTCTTCTTCGACCGCCAAATTCTCTCCAACCAATTGGTTGGAATTTGGCACGATGTTGGTAACTTTGCTCCTGCTTCGCTATTGAAACTAAGAAGCTACTATTGATATCAACTTATTCTTTTCTGACCATTCATATTCTTGAATCGTACTGTGTATTTATAAGGCTCTCCTATTTTCCTATCTTTTTATACTTGCTTACGCCCTTTACACAATGCTGACTGACCTATTTGTAAACATACGTAAGCTTTTTGTCTGACACACCCACAGTATGCAACATCAGAATAATTATTGAAAACTAAGTGTGAATTTAAAAAAACATATACCCAGTTGTAGATCGAATTTTTTCAAATGAGACGCGTGATTGCGCAACGGTGCCTTGGCACACGCCTAGACGAGACGAGGTGCGAATTTAGTCATGCACCTGCTTCGCAAAAAGTAGCGATATTGCGCGCCTCAGTCATTTGCACTTTGTAAAGATTAATTTTTATCAAGAAGTTTGTCTTGTTGCCCTGGGAATCATCTTCAAATTACAGCATTCACCATTTGGGGAATCACATGACACGAAATACATGTTAAGAAATGGAAACTCTCTGTGCCTGTTGAATGTGATGAAAAACCACTCTGAATCGGTGTCGCCACTGTTACCATTACAGGAAGTGATTTTAGATTAAAAACGTATATATAGTCTACTAAGCTTGTTCAGTAACGAATTTATGTTGTTATAAAAATAATAGAAGTTTTTGTGGGTGTCCTAAACAATTTAAAGACAAAAGCTATAGAGTTTTAAAAATCGCATTTTGCTATGTGGCGCGCGATCAGCCACGCACCTGCTAAAATTTACACGAAGATACCTGAATTTGGCCTACATTATTTTTGGATTCGCTGTGCTTATGCATGTCAAATGTCTTAGTTTCCTAAAGCTTTGTCATCTGCCATTTTATCCTGCTCTGCTTTTCAAAATTTATTTCCGGTCATTTCAGGGCTACAAGCAAAGAGATGCGTTCTTTTTATGCAACTCTCCTTCAAAGAACATGGTGCCTGACTTTTGGAGAATGCTCGTTGAGCAAGGCTGTCATACTGTAGTGATGCTGAATTGCCTAGAAGAAGAAGTGAGTGTAGCCAGCATATTTATATTTTCAATATGCGGAAAAGTCTTTATTTTGGCTAGTGTTAAGGTCTGGATTTGAATCAAGATCCGAAGATATTATTTTCATGGTCTGTATTAGTTTTGATAAATAGAATAATATTTTGTCTGAAAAAGCATAATAGCAAAACCACTTTGTAGCTATCAACTTTGGTGTGATTTGTCAGTTAACATTGAGGGTAGCCCAACTTGTGACAGTCGTAGTTAACAAACCAGAAATTATAGCAAGCAAAAACAAAGGTTTACTTAGTTTTATTGCAATTTTATTGTAGTTTTATTATATTATGTTATATTTCATTGTACTGTACTGTACTGTACTGTACTGTACTGTACTGTACTGTACTGTACTGTACTGTACTGTACTGTACTGTACTGTACTGTACTGTACTTTACTGTACTGTACTGTACTGTACTGAACTGTACTGAACTGTACTTTACTGTACTGTACTGTACTGTACTGTACTGTACTGTACTGTACTGTACTGTACTGTACTGTACTGTACTGTACTGTACTGTACTGTACTGTACTGTTCTGTACTGTCCTGTGCTGTGCTGTGCTGTGCTGTACTTTGTTGTACTATTTTGTACTTTGCTGTTCTTTACTGTTCTTTACTGTTCTATATATTGACTTTTATTCCTATTGATTGCAGGACAACTACAAATACTGGCCTGAAATTTACGCAAATCAAATATATGGAAACTACACGGTGGCGCTTACATCAGAGCAGCAGACTGGAAATATAGCGACGAGAAAGATCAAGATTTCCTCTGCTGATGTGAGATTTTCATTTTCCTTTTCACTGCAGCCATCAGCGTACATTCTTTTATAGTATCAATTATCTTTCGAGTGTCTTTCTGAAAGTTTTGCCCTAAAGCTTTGTATATCGATCTGAAAAACCTTCCCAGAAACGCCTTGTAATATCTTATATCAAAACAGCTGGATGCGGATCCGGAACGGTTTCACAGGTTCAGAAAACCGGTCAAATTCTGAGAGCTATATTTCTCTGTGAATCTCCAACTTTTATCTCAAATTTCTACTATTGCTGCATTTATTCCTGACTGACTACAGTTCCCCTTTTTGCAAAGATTCCGCAGATTTTCCAGCTTCGTATGCCAGATACATTCTTTGGTTTAGATATTTTCTTTGGACTAGATAACTTTCTTTGAGTTTTGAAATGGATCAAAGAGCAGCATTAGTCGATGGTAATATTTATTTTTGGGTTGGAGCATTTCAAAGTCAAAGCGTTTTTCAAGAAAACTAATAAGCTCTGTTTTAAAGTGACAATACCCAAACTGCAGTGACTATGAAAGTCCAAAAAATCTTAAAGTTATTTTATCTCTAACTCGCTTCTTTTTTGTGTGATTCTTTAGAGCATTGTAGAGCCCAAACTAATAATTTTTTATATCTTTGTCGTTCTTTTTATTTAAATTTTTATTGTAATAATCATATATTTAGGCCCACGAGGAGGAATTCGAGGTTCAGCATCTGCAGTTCTTAGAATGGCCGTCAGATGGCGTACCAAAGAACAGAAATAGCATACTAACGTTGATGTCTCTTGTCGAGAAGTCGCGTCAAAATTATGGCAATGGACCTGTTCTCGTTCATAGTGGGTATGTGCCACAGTTGTGTTGGGTTTCGTTTTGTCCTTTTTTAACCTTTTCGAAATGCGCTTAATCGTGCTGTATCATTTCTAGAAGTTAAATCACCGAAGCTCTCTTTTAACCAGACAAATGCGAGAGGGCAGTGAGAATAGCTCATGATGATTATGAATCAGCTTTTAACAACTTTTAATAAAGAATAAAACCATAACTTCTCATACAAAAAATTTACAATATCTTGCGATAGAAATTTACAAAAATATTTAACGGTTTGAATCCACTTTTATGGATGAAATATTTTCCATAAATGAATGCCCATATTACTTAAGAAACTGCCAATTCAAAACAGCGTAGCCACATTACAAAATATATGGATGTAATACCGTATCATACAGATATAGCCAAATATGGAACTCAGTTCCAAACGAAATAAAGTACTCCCCCTTCTGTAGAAATATTCAAGAAAAAATTTCACAATTTACATCGTTCAATTGCACCTGTAATCTTTGAAAGGAGTACGAATGCAACATCGGTTATATTTGATTTACATTATATTAAGCGTCGGTAGTTTAAATTAGTTGGTTTTAATTAGCTTGGGTAGGCATAGCCAGAAATTGTCCCAACTTAAAATGAAAAAAAAAGAAAAAATGAGACATTCCCTACCTTCTCAAAATGTGTGGTGCCGAATTTGATGGAGCTTTTTGCTCCAGTCTTGTGCCATAGCCGTTTTGTTATGTTTTGTGTATTAAGAATATGCGGTGACAATAAAGTTTACAATTGTTTTGTTTTTTTCGTACCTTTTCTCGGTGCCTATTAAATCACTATGATATTTCTGGCTCTTTTTTACTATTCTCAGTTTAAGAAATTCCTTTTGATATTCCGCTATGCTGAGAATATTTCCAACAGAGCAGCACAACATCTGCAGGTGCTAATAATTCTATAACTTTCTTGTAAGCAACTTGTAAGCAAATAATACGTATATACAAAAGTTTTGTATGTGTTTTCATAGGAATGGTGCCGGCAGAAGCGGTACTTTCATCGCCGTTTCAAACAGTACTGAGAGGTTGAAAGTTGAGCAGATTATCGATGTTCTTCAGTGCGTTCGTGCCATCCGATCGGTGGTTCCTATTGCCGTGGGGAATTGGGTGAGTAAAGACATGACTCGTTAGTCTGAATTCAGCTTTTCCTGATTGCAACACTATGCTAATAGACCGTCTCAAGACGTCATGATTGAGCCCTTTTTTCCTATAGCTAGTTCCAATTCCTCAGGTGGGGCAAGTTAACGGAAAAGTTGATAGAGACTACCCTTTAATTTTTTCGTTTGTGAAACTTCTTTAGAAAATAGAAAAAACACTTCGAGAATTAAAATCTGAAATTGTTGATTAATTATGGACTGTTTGAGCTACAGAGAAATTTAATAATCTTGATGTCAAAGGCCACTATTATCACGATTTTTGTCCCACTCGTGTCTTAGTTACGGAAGGCCGAGTTGGTGTATTTAGCGTTTAAAGCAACACTAATTGCAAATCATCGCAATTTCGACCAGAATTGCCCATCTTTATTATCAGAATCATCATTAGAATCAAGATAATGAATCATGAATCATGATCATGAATCGTGAATCTTATCATCTTATCATAATACATCATCGTCAGTTATCATTTGTAATCGTTAACACCAGTCTGAAAGAATAATTAACAAAATCAACACCATTCTCATAACCAAGTCACCTTTTTTATATTAAATCTCGCCTATGATTGCTATTCTTATGTTTTGAATGTCTTTTCAGTTGTGGCTGCCAGCTCTTACTATGATGTCTTCATACATACTTCAGTTAATTATTCTATTTCCAGGTCAACAATAGAACATAACATATGACTTGCAATTCTTTATATCTTTCTTGATTCACAAGTCATGAAATATTAGCGGCGCCCATAGAAGGCATCACTATAAATCTGCCTACAATTCTAATCCCTGAAAATAAATGAAATTTTCTTCATTTAAGCTTTATTTACCAGTAGCCGCGTAGGAACCGATTGCCTTAGACAGCTGCTTTTTTCTTAGCCAATAAAAACTGAAATGCGGAGTAATACTTTCCTGGGATGTTCGATTAAGTTGAAAACAAAACTGTTTTGGCTCTATTTCATATTTGCTTTAGAGCGATATTTTCTCAGGTGTGATTCGTTTGCCATTTCCGCACCTGTTCCTCTGTTTTGGCACATTATAAATATGACAGCTTTTCAACAGTGCCATTTTCTGCTTCTGTTGAGCTTTTCCAAATCTTTCCTAATCCGTGTAGAATTTCTATTTGCTTAGCTTAGGTATTGAATAAATTCTATACCCAGCTGACTTTTATCTTTATTAACGCGGATTTTTGAAGCAGAATCTCGTGAAACCATGTCTAGAAACAACGTTGATGGGGTCTATCGAACGTTTTACCAATCGTAAAGATATATTAAATTACTTTCTTAAGCTTCCTTCAGTAAAAACAAAAGATGGAAAAACTCAAGTAAAATATATAATTAAATGCAATTATTTTTCCTCTTCTTTCTCTGGCTTTCCTACGCGATTACTGGTTGTTATTTACATTTGAAAGCAATTCGTTTTCTCACAAAAAATCTATTTGAGTAGTAAAACTTTTGCCAAAAATCTTTTCTATAAAGTTTCTATAATTTTCCTGGGAACTAAAGGATTTTTTGTAAAATGTTTCAGTAAAATAAAATATTTGGAAAATCAAGAAAGGAATGTTTAAAATATTTGACAGTAGAAGGAAGGATTTTTTGGAATTTATATGAGGATCCATTAGTTTTGTAATTTATGCTTAATAAGCTATAAATTCATTTAAAATAAGCTTTTTTATATGTTGCTCTTCCCATCCATTACTGTTTAGTTAGCTTTACTTAAAAATGGCCTACTGAGGAACACAAAGGTCGTCAGCCTCTACGTCGCTCTGTGATGTGACACGTTTCCGCAAAAAGCTAAATTTTTGGGCTTTAACTAGCTCCGAAGTTGTTACCCATAATTATAAAGAAAGCCAAATTGCTGTCATTTTAGATGGCACAAATCCTTTTGAGAATTTCTGATGGTTATAATGAGTGATATTCCGGGACAAATATCAGTTTTCCCGGATATTGTCATCAACGATGCAGCCAATACCAATATGAATATCATCTAATTGTAACGATATCATTTCTCTTTGTTTTAGGAGCAATATGAGTTCATATATGAGATGATTCGCACGTATCTTGAGGGTTTTGAAACCTACTCTAATTTCACAGATGGAGCGCTAAGTGTAGAAATGTAATTCTTTGTATTTCTTTGGTAGGTTTCTAAATTTTGTTTTCACGTATACGCTCTATGTTGTATAGAACCCAATGGACCATGATCGTTCCTTGTCGCTGTAAAATTAACAGCATCAATGTTAATGATCCCTATCATTTATCGTCTTAATGATAATTCACACAAACCTTTTGAATACTTCTTGCGCAATATGCGTTACAACTTAGCATAAATTATGTCAGCAACCGAAGCTCCAGCCTTTTTGCCACCAGACAACTGCCATTCATCTGATGTCATACAAGAAATTTCAAAATCTAAATCTAAATTAATTTTTTTAATTAAAATTCTGAACTGTATATTTGTATCCTTAAAGTTATGACTAAGATTTGATCACCTTAAAACCAATTTTTTCAAAACGACGTATTGTGCCACTAGTTATTTTTCACAAGGTTTGTGTTTTGTATTTTTAGTTGTATGATGGAAATAATCACGTGCAAGTAGAGTTGATATTGGGAGGGACGTTGTGGTGAAATCTTTCGTTAAAATGAAGAAATAGCAATGGAAAAAGTCGTTTTAGTTTCAGAACATTAAAAGTCGCTTTTGCAAAAGTAATACGATCGCGAGTCGCGACGACGATCGTTTAAAATTAAACAGAGCACACAATCCCAGAAGACCCTAGGGCTTCAGAAAAAGCAGCCAGCTCATTTTGTTTGGTAAACTAAACCAGGCTGGCAAATTCACACAACCACAAAGGTCAGTCATGGCCAGAAACCAAGCGACAGGAAATAAACACAAGAGTTAGCTTACCAGAAGGCAAATTAATCAGGGGGTTAACACAATTTAAATCTTTTCTTTACTACCTAATATGAATAGCGAGAAGAGATGAACGCTCGCTGTGTTGTGGTTGTGTAGCATATTGTCAAGAATATATTATTTCTACGATAATTGCAATTTTTACTTACTCTGGAGCAGAAAAAAGCTGCTATTTTCTGACACCATATTGACAATATGGGACCAAGTAGAATTCATAGATGTAGAAGATTGAACCAGTAATCAAGAAGTTTTCTCGATTTCTGATTGACAATTTTTGATAGTTTCATTCTTTGTATTTGTTTTGTATCCAATAACTTATGTAAGTATTTAAAGGGTTTTTAGGATTCGTGAAGTTGTTGTTTCTCCACGGACATATTTTAGGCCATAAGACTTGCACACATAGTCAATGAGGTAGATGCGCGTGTTTGCACCCTCCCTGCACATCTTGTTTTATAATTATTTCAATGCGTCAAGAAAATTCTAGGAGAACCATATATATACATTCGTTTCCACGCGTAGCAATAACACGTGATAATAGTTCCTGCCAGATCTGCAACGCTAATCTCAAAACAGACATATTTTCTACTTCACCAAAACTTGGTTTAAAAGTCTGGTGTAAAGATCGTTTTTTGAGAAGTTCTGTTTGGTTCGACCCCGAGACCCATTTGCGTATTGTCATCGCAATCATGTCTGTAATCAAAATCTTTAGTTTTAGATATTCTCTAAATTAGGATGAAATTATTAGTTACTGCTGAAATTATCGAATTTGTAGTTTTCTAGACTTTTGTACTTGATTGTAGTATCAGTTAGTATTTAGTATCCTTAATAGAAAATAATAAAGTGAATAATCGTTGAAATGCCTGAACTTATTTGCCATCTTTTTTCAGTTGCTTTTTCGTCAACGAACGACATTCTGCTAGATAGGCTCGCTATTCCCTATTGCCGTTGATTTTTCACTGCCTGTGGCAGTTCCAGAACTCTGATTGGCTCCCTCTGCAAATATCGTAGCCAATCAGGTTCTTGTATTTTGACAACACGAGTTAGTATGAATCGGCATATTTGGTGTTTGCAGTCTTTATGATCGTTTAAAACCTTTGTGGTATTGATGAATTGACCTTCGACCAAGTATATATATTTATTTCGAGAGGACTTACTCACTTAATATTTTTAAGACATGGTTTGAAACCAATCCAATTTAATTCAGATAACATATTTTATCTCTTTGTATAGTTTCAACCAAAAGAATCACTGATCGAAAATTCCAAACCTAACAATGAAACTGTCCGACTTTTGATAAGCTACAGTCCTATTATCTTGCTGATCTTAACAGCAACAGCGGCATATTCTTTGTCAAGATTTTATCGCAGAAGTTCCAGGTATTGAACTGAATTGCAATTATTGAAAATAGTCCTTGGCAGTCATTCTTGGTGTTGCCGAAAGGCTTATCACCATTTTCAAACTCCTAGACAACCCGATATACACTTTTTTGCAATAACACTAAAAAAATTATTCTAGTTCTTTTCAAATTTGATATGGTTTCAGGGGAATTCACCCACTCTTTAAATAAAACTACCTTTTTGGAAAAATGAGATACAGTATTCTCTCCAATTAAAGGACATTCTAAAAAGCAGACAGCTCTGATTAGCGGACAAATTTTTTTCCCCGGTCAAAGTCTCATAAAAAACTTTCTAAAAAGCGGACACTTGATAAGCGGACACTCTAATTAACGGACAATATTTTTTGCACAAAATAGTCAATTTGGCTTTTTTCTTTCCAATTAGTGGATAATAAAGAAATTTGGGGGCAAGCGAACAAAAAAATGAGACGAATGAATATTTGTTCAAATATTTATTTCAAACACTTTGACACTTGACAATCTAGTTGGTTTTTCACAGCTTTGAGCTTCTTTACAGCCCAGTTTATTAACTTTTTGTCCATGTAAGTGTTGTGTTACGCTCAATTTGGTTATTTTTTTTAGTGTCTAAGTTCAACCCGATAGTCATTAATTACCCAGACTAAACCCAGAGGTGGCGCCAGAAATCTTCCGACAGAGGGGTTGGAGCTTCCGACAGGGGGCTAAAAGACTAAAATATGCAGTTTTCGAACGTTATTTTGTCAGATTTGCTCCGACAATAGCCTTAAATTTCCGCCGATGGGGGGGGGGCTAGGTGCTTTCGACGGAAGGGCTGTAGCCCCCCTAACCCTCCCCTGGTGCCACCACTGATTACATCTTTTAAATACAAAACTAGGTTCTATTTTCAACTTTGGGACTTACATTGCAAAACTTTTCAAAAGGCGGACACTTCCAATTAGCGGACACCTTGCTCTGGCCCCGACGGTGTCCGCTAATTAGAGAGAATACTGTATGTCAGTTCTGCGATCACAAATATGCGATCTGAGGCTGAGTCGTGTTCTTATAAACTTCATAAGTATCTGATAATTCTGAGACCGAAAGTTTTTATAAACAGTATACTTATAAAAAGTTCTCTTTTAAAGAATAATTTTCATGAGAATATGCTGGCTCCAATTTTCCAATCATCCAGATTTCAAATTTGATTATCCAATTTTCAAGGTTATTATAAAAGTATTGCTCAGCTTCAGCTCATAAATTGAAAAAAAATTTTTTTCTTAAAATGTTATAATTGTTAAGAACAGCTCGCGTTCAATCAAAGAATCTTTTTAGTTTAAGGTTTTTCCCAACCTAGGTCAAGTCTTCGATGACTATAAATGGTTTATTTTGCTATTCAGCGATGCTTGTGAATCAAAATAGTCTTTATCGGCCATTTTCTAGTCTCGCACCAATACCATGCGTGCTTCTTATGCATTGATACTGAAAATAATTGTAGATAGAAATGAAAGGTACATATAAAACCAACTTGAATTTTCTAGCACTGTGAATTGATTCTAATCGTAACAAGCAGTGATCTCCGGTTACAGAATAAAGACTACGATATTGATAGTAAGTTACGTCTACGTGAATCACTGTGATTTTCAGGGCTGCTGTCTTAATGCTCAAACATGCAGTCCACACAACATTAAGTACATAACGAAAAATTCTTAAGTTCTTGCTTGAACAAAGCCTAGGAAAAACCGACAGCATTTATGCAATCATATGAATAATTGAGAAAATACAGCAAGTTGACGAATGGATGTCAATGAAAATTTTGAAATAACTACTAATGCTTTGACCCTTTCCTATCCAAGACAATAAATCTTAAATGTGCCAAATTAGATTCAAAATGCATAGATGTTTTGCATTTACTTTTGATTTATATTTTAAGAGCATTTCTAAACTTTCCAAGAACAGGTTTGTTTTTCTTAAATTTACCATGCTATTAAGAGTCATATTTCAAATAGAGACAGTTTAATTACCAGCGGGCCTCCTGTTTGCTTGACGATTTCTTCCCTGCCCCCTCTCGGTGGACCTATTTATGTGTAATAAACCATGTTCTAGCTGCTAGAGATTATTTTGATCCTCTTTCGATATTCAGATGGGGAGAGTCCAGCCCGTGTTTAGAAAGATTGGTAATAAAACACGGCGTCGAATTTCTACAACTATTGGGTGTATTACATGCTACGTAAAATAAATTACACATTCATTTTGACAACAGAAGCAACAGATAATACCAGAGGATAGGGTGCTTTCTTGTCTGAAACGACTTTTGGTCATTCATGTAGGAATATTCAGGCAAGCATAAGAATGATCGGCGTGAATCAATGTGAGGGAAAAGGTTTAATGAAGTGATCTATGACAATGAAAATGCTATTGCCAAAGAGCATGTTTACTCTAACGCTTTAAAGCAAAAGTTGGGTATATCGCGCTTGATGTTTGAATAGTTGTGCTTTATCATGCACGCTCTCTGTGCCTACGTTCAAAATTAACAAATTCACATCTTTTCAAACAGTGCATACCTCCTTCGAGGTGGTGCAATACTTTGGTGAGGGGATTGTACATGCATACCTACATATGTCCTTGCTCGATGAATTCAGATAAAGAAAGAGAGCAGACTTTACGATTAGTTAGGGTTCGTTGCCTATTCCGAGAGATTTGCAGTCTAGGCAGGTTTGCGTTGTCTAACTTCACACTCTACTTCGATTTGTAGAAATGTTTGCGAACATGTTTCAACAAAGTCAAGGAAAGATTTTTATTCTCGTAGACAGATTTTCCTTGTCTTGTAGCAACCCTAGTCTTGTATTATGTCATACCACTATGCTTGCTAATCCTGGCTTCGGATCTGTCATAAACCAGGCTTGTTTCACGTGCAAAAGATGGAAACATTTCTAATTAATTACTGGGATAGTAGCTGTTGCTTTCTGTCATCTTTTGTGATTTCTGATTCAGAGTCGTAGGCTGTCCTGCTTGCAGAAAAATTGCCCCTGGCTGCATGAAGGAACGAATAACTTTTAACAAAATGACGAATCTTGCTATTCCCATGTCCATATATAAGCACATTTGCCATGCAATTGATGAACATCAAAACATATGTCCAAAACACAGTCACATTGAGGGCTAGGCCAGGATCCTGCTTCATTTCAAATCTATAGTACCCCCATGTTGATGAAATGAAGTTGTAAGGCATGTAAAGAAGAAATATTGTGCCAAGAAGAATTCGGATCGTCCTTGCAACAGAAATATCACGTTTACGCCGGCGACTTTTCTTGCTCACTTGTGGCTTGCCTTCGTTGCTTGTGCAATCTTCTTTTAACATTGATGCTGACTGCTTGTCAATCCTAAGAAGCAACTTCGCGTAAAAGATGTAAATTGTCGCAATGCAAAGGATGTTACTGCTGATGATGATCAAATGCATCACGTAACTGTATGCTGTAACTGTAATGATGGCAAGCGCTATCGAAACTACGACAATTGTCGAAATGATGATTTTAAGGCGAAATTTGGTCATGAAAGACCTGTAATTATGCAGTTTCGTGATCAGAAGGTAGCGGTCAATGCCAATTGCTAGCAGAAGAAAGAATGACGTGTTTCCGAAAACATAAGCAATACATTGGATAGCCTTCTGGTAAACACAATCACTCCGCAAGCTCTCGATAAACATCATACAACAAAGGAGTGGCATTACTACGAGTCCCATGCCGGTGTCAGAGATGCTCATGCAAATAACCAAATGCGACGTGAAGCTGCTTGTCTCCTTTGTTTTTACCATTGCGTACACCAACAGGACATTTAGTATCACAATGAATGGCGCAAGCACCGCACATGTGATTCCCCATATAACCAAGTGATGTTCTGGAACATCTAGCGGCCACATTGTGCTCGAACAGGCTGCCATTGTGAATGAATGCTCAAAGACTTGCAGCGATATGCTCTAAGACTTGCAGCAATATAGAAGCTACTATTAGCGTTTTGGCGATGAGCACTTCTTTGTAGCTGTATTATTTCAAATGTATGTGCTGAATGCTAGCATTGGAACACTTTATATTGATGATCTTCTTAGCTTGTCAAAACGCAGACTCCTTTGTTGCTGTCCTAGAAGTGATCGAGATGAAGCATTGATAAGTACACTAGTCTGTAGACAAAATTCATCACTGTCGGACAATACAGCCACCAAATCTAGAGTTTCCCCACCCAAGGCAGTGAGAAAAAGGCCGATAAGAGCGAAAGGTGATGTCCGATTTAAGACGACCCATCTGCCAGACTGTAAAAATTAGATTCCTTTATGCTGAGTGGTTCAGATATTTGTTACAATTGCATTCAATTAATTATTAAAGGTTTGAAAACAAACGTTTTACGATTTCTTTCTGTAATAAACTCAGGTACACATGTAGTGGTCCTGAACAGAAAGATCTCAAAACTTTTAATGAATGTTTCTTTAATTTCGGATGATGAGAATAAAATGGTCAAAATTTGGGAAAGACTTTTGATTCTTCCCTCTTTTCATCCTCACCCAGAAAAAATTGCCGCCATCACCATCACAGTTCGCTACTGCCTTTATTGTAAAGAAAATCTCCTAATTGCTAAATTTGGGTCCCCATCTTTTTCTACTTACCCTGTTTCTTGATGTCACGAGGCGACGAATGACGGGCGGCCAAATAACTGGGGGTGTAAGTAAATTGGCAATGGTAAGTTCGGCCAGCGTCTTCTTTGCGAACAAGCAAACATGAAGTTATAATAAGAAAAGCACCTGCTCGTGTAGGATCGGAGATTGACGCATCCCTAATTAATTAAAATTGTCTATAAGCAAGAAAAATCCTTATCACCTTATTGATGATATGATTGTGTGGTAAGCCCATCCATCCCTGCAATAATGTACCAGCAATTTGTATGGAGTGCCACACCCAATAATGATAATAACAATGATAATTTTTATACAAGGCAAATATTTACAGCGCTATAAGTTCGGTTTAAAAGTGAGTACCCCTTTAAGGAATATCTAAAGCCACAAAGGATTTTTGCCATTTCTCAAGATTTGGACCGAAGCTAAAAATGTCATGGACAATAAGAACAACGTACCACGCAATGCCTTAGCCACTTCATCAGTTGAAAAGTTTCTTAAAGTTTTTCTACCATACAACTACAAAAAAAGCCCCCACGCTTTCTTCCATGCCTATTTTTGACACGATTTTAGTATATCAAAGTGTAGCAAAGTTCCGTAATGAAAGTGTAGCATCTCAATCATATATTCAATGAAAAATGAAACCTTAAAAAATGAAGCATTTTCGCAATTTTTAGTTGTCAACATTTAATATTTAGAATACATAAAACTATTTAAATCTTAAGTCTAAACTCATTTTGCTCTTGGCAATATTTCATTATGTTCTTACATGCTATATGGTCAAAATTCTAAGATTTTTGTGACGTCAGCACTTCGACAGAAGGCAAAATCAGCTTGATAAAAGTAAAGAAGTTTCTAAAACCTGCTTTTTATATCGACTTTCAGAAAATTACAGTTGCAATTCCCCCTTTAAGCTATTTCAAATATACCAAATTCACCGTATAAGGTCCCAAAAGGGGGGGGCTTATTCGAGGATTAACGGTATATTTCCGTAAATAAGCCTATTGTGAGAAGGAGACCCCACCCCCTTCCATGCACAGCTAACATTAAATTCAAATGAGAAATATGCAGGGGCGTAGCTAGCAGGGACAGTGTAAAACCCCCCAATACTTCATGAATTCGTCGATAAATCTTCAGTTTATCTACAAAACCCCTAGTTTGTCGGTAAAATCATCTATCAGTAGGTGAAAAAGTACCTAAATTCTTCTCATTCTACATCTTCGTCTATTAATGACCCTCCACCTCCCTAGTGTGGAAGTTAAAGCGACGCCAATGCAGGCAAGCCGAAGCCGGGGGCTACAGCCCTCCTACTTGTTCGCTAAAGTATGATATCAAGATTGATCAAAGATAATGGTAGCAAGCTGCATAAAGAGCCCCAACTTTTCTGAAGCTCCCCCCATTCTAAAATGTGCTCTGGGCTCCCTGGGGACGCATGGTAGTCTTCTGCAATGTTTGGTTAAGAAAACGAACAGTGCTAATTAACCATTTGTCCGCAGACAGACAGAAAACAATGCAGTTGCACATTTGTTTAATATACGGCGACTGTTTGTTTTGTCGAAGACTTTGTATAAATTGTAAATAAATATATTTGTAGAAAAACATTCGCGGGCTGTGGGAACTAGGAATTCAACATCTCATAGATTTGCAGTATATTCTAAAATAAAAACGTCTCTTGCTGCTATGACTATCCAGCCAAAACGTTGGTACGAAAATACAAAACGCGTATTTGACTTTTGTTTGACTTTTGAAACAGTTACGGCTACGCACGTCAATGCCTGCCAACTTGGATTAAAAATTTACCATTTCAGACAACAATTTAATTGTGTGGAAGTATTCAATTTAATTATAAAAGAAACCAGCCTTCTGGCGTTAAGGTTGTGGAGAATTTATGAGACTTTTGAAGATCTTTCTTGCTTGCGTTAAAATAAGTCAGTTACATAGAATTAAAAATCACGATTTTTTTGTTTCGTTTTTTATGTCTCGTTATTTTTGCTTTAAGTCCAGAAGTCTGTTAATTTTAATATACTGCAGAGATAAAAATGGCTAGTGATCGCAAAAAATTGGCTTTAGAAACAAAGGCTTTTCATAATTTGCGGGGGGGTGGGGGTGGGAGGGGGGCTCGAGACCACTGAAATCGATATTTCAAGTTGCTTGATTTGTTTAAAAATTTGTTCTAAAGAACTGTCACACTAAAAAGAACTAATTGTTGGTCCTGCAGTCTTGATCATAGCTACTCGAACAGGAATCATTTTGTTTATACTGTATTAGACGATCAAGGAGAATGTGATCAAGCACGATACTCATAGTTTGTTTTCAAGGTTAAAGAAAGTAGATCTGAAAATCTACAATAACTTTGATTAAATTTCATACCAGTACTAGCAAACTAGATACTTTATAAGTACTGATATATCTATACATCTTGCTCTGGGTGGGTTTATCATCAAAGCTAGTAGTTCATACAACATGTAAGAATACTATTTTATTTTTCAATGGTTAAAATAAATGTTTTAAATCAGGGGTGGTGCTAGAGGCAAAGAATTAAGACCAAAACGCTTACATTCTATAAAGCAAATGATGAAAAATATTTGCGAATGCCAGTAGAAAAATACGAATAATAATGGACACATCCACACAGGTTTAGGGGCATGTTCAACTTCAAAACAATTGACGTAACAAGATTGGCTGTCTTTAAGTGTTTTTACATATTTAGAACGGCTAATAATGTAAAAAAAGGAATGAACTTTGTTTTAGATTGCTGGAATTAAATTAGTAGCTGAAAATCATGCACGGAAATTCGGCATAACAGACGCTTATAATACAAGATGGTTGAAAGCTAATCTTCTTTTTATGTTAGTAGTGCAGAACAAAAATTATTCAGTATGTATGTATATTGCAAAAAAACAGCATTCCATAGAAATATTGTAACATGAATTTAATGTTCATGTTGAAATCAAGCAATGGAGATTTCACGCTAAAAATTTCCTGGCAAACATCAACAATTCCTGCAATGAATTTGGGCCAAAAATTTCCCCGGACATTTTCCAGCCCTGCCAAAATTATTTCTGGTAAAATTTCTACGAACTCGATATGGGCTGCAAATATACCAAACACAAACCTTCTGTAAAATGCGATTCCTAATTTTTGCACCATGTTTTTCTGCAGGAAACCTTTTAAACCTAAGTCTTGCAAGAAAGCGTCCAACCATTTTTGAAACTCTAGAAAGAACAAACAGATCAAGGAAATCGGAATCGACGATGTAGGATGAAGTCTCAGCTCGCACAATTCCAGCTGTGTTATTGTACGAGCACAACTTCCTGTTTGTTTTCTTGAATTAACAAGATGCGATGCCATTTTCATATTAAATCTGGAGGCACGGGTGTAGTGCTAGGAGGCTCAGGGGGCTGAGCCCCCCTTGTTAATGCCCATAAGTAGCCAACTTTTTACTTTTGCTATTGTTTTTTGCAGTGTTTAAAACGTTTGTTTTCATATTTTGATAATTAATTGAATGCAATTGTTAGTACTACACCCCCACTTTGAGGGGGGTTTGTTGGATATTCCATACAACGTTAACTTTCCTCTATGGCTTGGCCTTTTTCATGTGGGTAGCCTTCGTCATTGTCTATGTCTGCGTACAGACACGGAGGAATGCAGTGGAACTCCTCTGCGTTGAAAGGGATAGACACAGGATGCTATGCAAATCATTGAAGTTATTTGTGAAACCCAGTTATACCAACAAAAACAAAGTCATCGATTCGAAACGGGATAAATGGGGAGGGACTTATCGACAGCAATTCATTTCGCTGCTCGATACCAATCCAAATTTTACCAGAAATCGGGTATCTAGACAGCTGAAAAAATTGTAATCGATTTTGGTGTAGTAGCCATTTAAAATTTCAACGCGGAGATTATCCAGAATTGATTTGAGAGGGTTTAGATTACAGATAATTCATCTTCAAATACAGCTGATATTAGTTTTTTTTTACTTTTTTGAAACTTACGCAAACTTCCACTATATTTTTAGCGACAACTGAACAATGCTCATTTTAAGGGTTACAACCAACCTGACACACGTTTGGCAACTTCTCTCATTTTAAATATGTTAACTCACTGTCCGATTATTAACAATTTTTCAGTATTTGATACCCTTTCTATGATTTCAGTTTTTCCATGGGTAGAAAGCACTTTCTAAAAACGGCAAGGCTAATGTCTTCAAAGCACTAAATAAATACCTGGTTCAAATCTTCTTCAAAGATTTTTGTCGCAATGCCGCTTCTGTTAATCGAATCCTATTTACACAGTTCCGCTCCTTGTTTCTTCAAGCAGCTCCAATAATTCCCAGCCAAGGGTATTTCATGGTAAATTCATCTGCACTTATAGAAGTGTCCAGGTGTCTTTCAACAGAACAAATAACAAGGAAGTGAGCTATGAGCACAATGAGTAATGTAATGTAGCCTAGCAACCTGCGCGAAAAAGAGGCTGAGAAAATGGCTTCCATTGAACTCGATGAGATTGCCAAAGTGGCGCCTTCCAAAACAAAGATGTTTAATATGGAAGTTTTGTAGCAAGAAATTGTGTTTAATCTCAATTAAAATCCACTTTTATTTAGGCGAAATGGTGTATGAAGCTCTTCCAGTCAAAAAGAAATGGAGTAACAAGCGCTTGTTTGACCAAAACACCAAGATCTAGCTGAAGTGGGGCAGAAGCTTTAACAAGAAACAATCATTCCAGGTTTTAGCAAGTTGAAAGTTGCATTCAGGAGTAAAAATGGAAGGGTAAATTTGGAGATAATATTTTTTCTAAATAATTGAGGCAATTAGACTGCCAATTCATGATAAAAAATACATCCGTGTGTTTTGTATTCCAGTTTAAAAAATGTTCACAACACAAGACACATTTTCTTTAAAACAAAGAAATTGTTTTTTAATAATATTAAGATATTTAACTTCATAATGAGTTTTTAAGCCTTCAACTTTTGTTAAGAGGAAATTTTATTGCCAAGTTAGTTCTTTGATGACTTTTAATTTCTTGCAGAACCATTGTAGAAAAAATGAGGAAGAGGCGTCAAGCCATGGAGGTAATACTATTTTAGTTATTTTTAAATTTAAGATATTTCACTCTACCAAGTTAAAATGCCTCAATTTTTTAGAGATACTAGTTGTTTCATGTTATTATCACTCTTATTATATCATTATATGAAATATTTATACAAGTTTGAGGCTTCAGTTTATATATATGTAGAGTCACATCGCCCCCTATTGAACGATTATGCAATATATAAAAGTAGCTGGTATCAATGCCTGACAAGAGGCAAACCATTAGCTTCAAAATAGTAGATTTTAGTCATTGTCCAGAAATGTGACTTATTGTCTAATGTGAAATGTGACTAAACAACTTGACTTATTGACCTCCTATGATGCTGTATTTTGGCAAATGAAAAAGACCCAAGAACAATAAATATATGTTTGTTTCATTACCAAGAAACATATTTTTACACCAGCTTATGTCTATCAACTCAGGTTCTTTGAAACTTATTATCACTATGAGTTAATTTTGGCTCCATATTGCCTTCTTATTTGTGCATAACTTCACAATCTTCAATCATTTACTCCTGAAGGCTTTACAACCAATCTGGAGCATTTACTCAAGGAGCATTAAAAAAGGAAAATTAACCCAGAAGTAGGATTGATACCATTTCCACCCAGTGCTCCAGTTTGTTTGTTCGCTTCTATTAAGTTTAGCTATCAAAGGCCTCAATGTACTTTAATACGTCTTTTTTTCACCAAAACAGTGATGTTTTTTGTGTTCTCTGATTGAGGATCTTAAAAACAGCTAAAATGTAGCAACCAATCTAGCAACTTAATTTAAACACAAATCAAAATCTTTTTCAAGGCAACATATACATCAGATGCTGGATCATATTATTCTGATAATGATGAGAAACAGCTTATAAAAAATAAGGTAAGAATTTTTCTTTCAAGCAAGCATGTCATATTCCTCATGCTGATCACCAGAGTTATTTTTTTTATCATTCAGTAATTTCACACAAAACCTGACAGTTCCAGTGTGCACAAATCCAAGTTTCTCCTAATGCAGTGGAATTGTTTTTCCTTTCTGAATAATGTGATATATACCTGGCTAGGTTTTTTTTCTGAAAAATAAAACTTTGATATTAAATTTTAAGCAGACTTTTTTCCCACATTACTGACATTTTGACAAATTTAATTACTAAATTATCACTATGACAAATTGAATTACTAAATGTTCTAAAGAAAACAGATTTTGGTGCTTCTGAAAACGACTTAAGGAGTATCTAAAGTTTATCACCTAATTACAATAGTGAAAATAAAGTCCCTGAACATTTCATCTGAGATTTGACCAACTGAAAATTGATATTGGATTTAGATCCAGGAATTTCTCCTCTTGGGTTGTACAGCTCTTGTCCTTCACAGTTAACTTACTATTTCCAATGAATTTAAATCTATGGTGATGTTCCATTGATTGTAGCCTTCAATAGAGGAAGTTACAGAAATCCAGTCAATTGATGGGTCAACCAATGTTCAGGTGAGGTTTATTTGAAGCTTCAAGTAATATTTTACTCCTAATGGGCATGTTTTCTTAATTATATGATACAAACCTTGACATAAATTGAATATTGTAGTAAGATTTGCAAGAATGTCTTTATTCATAAATGCTGTTAAGAATTTTGCATTGATTTTAGATTTGTCAATGAAAAGGCTAATAAATTGTTCATCCCTTGTTTATAGAGTTCAGTATATTACAAAAGAGCATCTAAGTCTTGTCATATAACTTATGGCATTTCTGTTACTTTTTAGCCTGTAAAATAATCTCTGTGAAATGTTGTAAATGAAGATGAGTTTGAAGTCACTGTACTTCCTTCTATAGTTTGGAACTTTGTTTATTTAGTATAATTGCTATATTTGCTGTAAAGATTATTTATACATAATTCAATGAAAGAACCACCATTCACTATCAAAGGGACGAGAAAGGAATCCAGTGTGGTTAAATCTGACGTTTTAATGATTAAGAAATATAATGATTGTATGTAGCTTAAGCCACACTTTTAAACATAGTTTTGAGATAACATTGACAGCACAGAACATGGCTATACTGTTGCATCTTTTGTAATATCACCTGACTCTAGATTTTAATTCTTTTCCACTTTGCTTGATTTCAGTTGTCTCTATATATTGAGAAATGTTTCAATAACGAATTAATTATTCATTACTTTCGATTGTTTAATATCTACATTATTTAATTAACGCATATAAGTTTTCAAAAGATGACCATGCGACAAGATTGTCTTGAAATCTAATTTAATCAAAAATAATATGGCCTAGTCAAATTCTGTTAAAAATGTGTCTTAATCATCGAGTTATTGGTGTTTACCACACTGGGTTTGTCTTTTCTGCATTGCAGCTTATGGCATTGTTTGTCGTGGTCCTTAAATCAAAATTTATAAGGCTGCACTTGTCGATAAAGATTACAAGCATATTGTAATTAAAGACTCTTGCGCAACCCTCATGCTTTACAAATTTAAAACTGGCCTAATTTCTTACTGCATGAAAATGCAAAATACATTCCATTTCTCCTTGTGTAAGAAAACAGCTACCGCGAAGCATGCCGGTTGGGCAAGAGCCTCTTAAAAAGGGAAAATAGAATGCCAGTGAGATATAACTTCAAGAAAATAATGCCAGCCCTGTAAAATTAGAAAGATAAATCAAGTCTGTTTGTTCCAGTTTAATCTAAATTAAATTCATGAAAAAGTTGAATCTAAATTCCAGAGTATTGCCGACGATAAAGACGACATGCTTGAAGCATTGCAGACACGACGGAAACAGAGGCAGAACGAGGTTTGTGAAATCAGGATATTTTCAGAGGTCCCGAACCGCCGACAGCTTTATAATTGTTCTATACTCCTAAGCATTAGCGTTGACGTCATTCTATGTCACCAATTGCGAATATTACTCAGTCAATCGCACAATCCAGTGAGAGAGTGGACTAAAATGGGGCAAAGCTGGTAACTATCCAAAAACCGAAAGCTTTTGCCAAAGGTATTTGGTTTGCCTGGAAGACGCGAAAACCATAAAATGGTTTAAATTGGTTTGATGAATAGCTGTTAGCCAGGCCACATTAATATGGTAAAAGTGTAACACCAACACCCTTAAGGGACTCTAGATATTTTAGTAACCAGAAATGGTTCCAGTCGTATGACAAACTCTTTATCTTCATATATAGACGATATTGATACCCAATTTTTTGTGGAAAGTATATTCAAAATTAAATCTTATGAAAATTAACTATGAAGAAACATTTCTGAAATTCAAGTCGGATAATCCCAACACCCGTTGAAACTCTCAAACTAAACGGTCTTCAAAAGTTGCTTTGAAAAACCAAACAATTAAAGACATGCTGTAGCTTTTCGTCTGACACTTTTCAGAGTATATTGATATATAATACTTCATATAACTGTTATAGATTTAATACATTTCTAATTCAACATTTCGGACTATTTATGTAGCATTTTAATTTTTGGAGAGTGTCAGACAAAACATTTAAGTATGTTTTAAATTTTAGTTTTCCAAGTTGTTTCTAGTCTGTAAACAGTCTTTTCTAGGTGATTGCAAGCATTGCTTTTTGACCTACGCTCTTCTTTTATAAGAACCAGTAAATCTAAGTTCAGGTTGACTGTTCAGAAATTTTTTCGAAAATCTGGGGCTGGATTGTTCTTAATTTGTTCTTAATTTAATAGGGTGTAAGCAGGGCGAGTGCTAGCTATTTCACTCTAGGGAGGTAGTCAGGCCTCATTTGCCAACAAAGTGAGTGAGACAACCTTCATTTGCTGACAAATTTGAATATTCACCGAAAAAGCACCCACATGGCTAAAAATCCACGATTTTGAGAAAAAACGTTGTAGAAGCTCAGCCTCAGTTTCTTCTTAATTTGTTCTTAACTTTTGACTAATTTTGAGGCACGTGTTCTTATAAAATTGCTCCTATAAAAAAAGTGTACCACAAGTGTAGTCTTTGGTTGTAGATCGTCTTGTTTTTCAACTTTGGGGACATACTGGAACTCTAACCCACGCTTTTTTGTGTTAAAATTGCAGACCAACTTTTAAGGCCCTTCATTCTTCAGCTTCAGGAGATCCATGGACAAGCCAAAAATCTAAATTAGGCTGGCTCCCCGATGTATTTGATTCCAGTTTTAAAAGAGATAAGGGAGTTGAACTCCAATGACGGAAACTCAGTTGAACAATCTATTGCCAAAATTTGTTCTTTGTGGTTTTCCATTCGATTCGTGTCTGATATTACCGTACAAAAAGTATCGTCTCAGTGGTTACACCTCACAAATACTATTTTTGACATTTCAGCTTACTGAGCCGCAGCAAGGCCCCTCGGGAATGGCGGATACGACCCAAAGCCGACCTCCACTTCCTCGGTCCTTGCCAGCCCTAAGAGATAGCAAGGGTGAACCCGCTGAATCTGGTAACTATTGTCTAAGCCTTGTTCGTTTTTTCTAATTGGGAGTTTAGAAATTTTTTGTTCTCAAATTGAAGCTAGTATTAAATTTTCAATCCAAACCTCCAGTCACTCGTGAACTTGCCGTTTGGTTAATCAATCAAGCCATAAGTTTTCAGCTATATTAGCGGGTGATTGTTTCTTAAATTGCTAATTTTCCTTATGATTTCCAAAGGTGTGCTTACAAAAGAAAATGCTTGATTGGCATTTGGCTATCTTACACAGAATACCAACCGTTGGAAATTCTTCCATTAAAGCTACAATCCCTGTCAGAAGTTCTTAAAACGCCCAGTTCCTTGAGTGTTGTTTTGGAAAATTTAACTGTGTCCGGTTAAAAAGATTTAAATAATCCATTGGACCACACCGAACCTCTTATCTTTACATAAAGAAGCATTGTTGGGAGGGGGAGAGAGTGCAGTGCAAGACTTTTGGCAGGCATTGTAGATAAGCGTTGGGTGCCCCAATGTTTTGTATTCCAATTGGTGGACAAATTGTGGATGAATACAACTATTTATTTCGTCCCCTTTCATTTTTGCAGCAATGAACTTGTTTTTATAGTTAGCTTTTGCCCTAACGCCATCAAAGAGGCAAATTGTTTCCCCTGCTACCCATTGCGCTATTTTAACCGCGTACCTAAACGTTAGCGTTTCACATCTCAGTTCCTTAATCATCTTTATTTGACCATAATCTATCGACTATGATTACACCCACTATGCTAGGACAACAAACCCCTTGTTTTGTAATGTTGGTATTTACTATTTAAATTTGAATCATCTATATTGTCAATATTATCTATTTTGGTTGTCATAGTAGTTAGTGTATTGACAAAATGTACAATGTCGAAAGTACTTGATCTTTCTTCAATTTTTTAAAGCTCATTTGCCTTGTTATCCGGGGGTTGGGAGGGGGCATTTGAACAGGAAGATGACGGGGGTGTGCGTAAGACCTTTTTGCATCCTAACCCTGTCCTATGAATAAACATGAAATAATGAAAAAATATGTCACAATTATGCCAGAATATACCTGCGCGTAAAGAGGGTCTGCAATGTGCCTAGCGTGCGTTGTTTGTGGGATCAAATAATTAAAGGAATTTCTAGATACCTTGTCTCAAACAATTTTCTTAATTTGTTTATCCTTTTTCAGATTTTTTTTACAATTCATAACACCCTATCCCATAATTTTAATCGGAAAAGTATGACTGGTTCCGCGGCACATCCCGTCAGGTCAAGTATGGAAGTGTCCTCCTCCCTGGACTTCATAATTTTTTAAAATAGTAACTCAGTCTTATCATATTTTTGCCAATGATTTACTTTTACGTGAAAAAAGGTAAAATTTTAAATCATTCAGCCTCATTTTCTTCCTTCTATTTTGGTGCTGCGAAGGTAAAAGATTCATAGATACAGTCGAAGCTGCCACATCGCGTGCCTCTGATCCAACAGGCGGCAAACTGAATACGTCAATCAGAGAGAGGCTGCGAAACAGAGTCAGGGGAATTCAAGCTCGGGCGACGGAAGAAGGGCTACCTGAAAGAAAATTGCGAGGACTCCGGGAGCTGCCTATACCAAATCGCTTTGAAGATGCGAAGGTTGACTGATTTTCTCTTGGTCGAGTTAGAAACTGTTTTTGACAGATCCAGATTATTCAGTTGAAATAATTGCAATAGCAGTTTGTTTTTTATAATATGATTAACAAGTGACGCGAGGGTTCTTCGCTGTCATAACCCTGATTCGACACTATAATGTGAATAAAAATAGTTATGGTTGTGTTTGATTGTGCCAAAGTCAGTTGAAATATGAGCTTGATCTTGCAGTGATATAAGCAATTTTTCGTAGAATTTCTAGAAATTTTTTGACACTACTAATTACTATTGCGATACAACCCATTGCTAATTACTGTTGCGAAACAACCAATATCATTTTCAAGTGAATACAACAGTCGGTCAAGTGCCAGAACGGAAGAAAGCTTTGTGCCTTAAGCCAAAAGACCTACCGAAATGAGGATCTTTTCCGCTAAATTGTAAATTAATGTTTCAGGAAGAAGAAGACGACTATGATCCTCAGCTCAAGGCAAGCATCAAAAGCGCAAGAGAGTGGCGCAAGGTGAAGGCACAACAGAAGAAACGCGATGTAAGCAGTAATTGACGTGTTGTGATCAAATGTTTACATTAAATATAGTATCATATCATTCACAGTAGCATTCACTATCATATAGGTTCGACGCATTTGCTTGCCATTCGCGCTGAATTTTGACTAATAATTGTCACGTTTCCTTAGGGTTTTCCAACGGAAGAGGAAGCATACAACTTCTTTGTTGGCACAGGAGCGACAATGGACGAAGAAGAAGAGCCAAAAAGAGAAGATGCAAAAGTATATTTGCTTTCTTTGCTCCACTTATGAGCCATTGCTTCTTGCTAATATCAATTTTAGATGGCCATGAGAGTATCTACCCTCTTAAAGAAGTCACCATTTCCGCTTCTGCTGGAGACATAGGAAAAATCATACTATACTATACTATACTATACTATACTATACTATACTATACTATACTATACTATACTATACTATACTATACTATACTTTACTATACTATACTTTACTATACTATACTATACTATACTATACTATACTAAACTATACTATACTATACTATACTATACTATACTATACTATACTATACTATACTATACTATACTATACTATACTATACTATACTATACTATACTATACTATACTATACTATA